AGCTGTCCTTTGTGATTCAGCACATAATCTGGTAGCTTCAGAATTCACCTGAGGGCAAGGCTGTAAGGGGTATAGACATCTTGAGATAGAACAACTAGATGGTGCTGCTTTTCTCACTCTGCCAGAAGGCAGCCCCATCCATTACTGATGGTGATTTCATGCTGCTCTATGGACCACAGCCTAGTCGTGCATGAAAGCCTTCATTGTTCTGGCCCTCATACCATTAGTCATTTATAGAAAGCCTAAGTTGTGCCATCTTAGGACATATGCTGACCTTGGCTCCATTGCTAGGAGTAAAGATCTGTTGATAATATGTCATCGCAGAGAAAGGAAGCCTTGGCATGCAGAGAATAGGGAATCAACTTAATGCATAGCAAAAATAAGTCAAATAAAAAATAGATAATAGTTATGTAAATATCCCAGTTCATTTGGTTTTCTTTTGAGAAGTTAAAAATATTTGGAATGCACTAATTGTTTGAATTGTTTAGCAGAAATTGTTTTTTCAAGTAATAAATGTATGTCATTACAAGAACTGGTCGAACTTATAATGAAATGAAGTATGCCTCTCCATTAACTGAAACAGGTTTACCTCTGATTTTTATTCTTCAGAGAGTTACTCCTATTTATTCCATCACTACTCTGATGAATAAGGATTTAGTTCATTTATGTAATGTATTCTTATTACTGTTCTTAGATTCTCCAGTGGTCACCCTTGCTGTTGATGATTTCATCATTGTGAGAAACATGCTCACCTGTCCAAACCCAAAGAATGGACTGAAAGACTAAAGGTATAGAGAAAGTGAGGCTTTTAATCATGGATTTTAATCTTGTCTGGATGAGCAGGCACACCTAGAGCAGTTACAATCAGCATTTTATTCCCCAGAAGTGCAAGGTCCCTCCCCTGGTTCCTCATTGGCTGAGTACTATGGGTACCCAGGGTCTTGCACATGCCAGTGTTCTTCCCAAACATTGCCAAGGTTTTACTGTCTCCTGTTGGGTTATTTAAAGAAATGTATCTTTAGTTGTCCCCACTTCCCTTTGTTCTCTTGTGGTGGGAAGACCTTCTCAGGCTGAGTGCATTTTAGAACAGACATGCATGCATACATACATAGTTGGTTAGGCCAGCCCTTTCCCCCTACCTCCTGTTAATCAAGGGGCTATGAATTGACCAGTTCACACTCTGGTATTAACTGCTTTTATTGTCCCCTCCAGCTGCCTCTCTTACATCCCAAGTAGTTTTATATTTAAGGCTAAATACTGTATGCTGAAAGTGGACCAGTGGACTTTCTGATTTCCACAATTAGCCATGCCTCCTGTCTCTTGGCCCCCATATTGTACATGTGGCTAGGTTGTTATCTGTTCGTTGGTCTCCTCTCTGACTTCTAATGCTAATCTTTGCTAGTTTTTTTTTTTTTTTTTTACTTTTGCTTTATGAAGACTGATTATGTTTGCATCTTTCCTGAATTTGTGTCAGTTGATTCTAAAAACTGAAGATCAGTAATTCATTGCAGAGCCATTTAGTCATTTGTAGTCACATTTCTTTATCTCTGCTTCCAGGACTGACCCATGTAATACTCAGAGGAAAATCCCCTGGTATTCATAAACATGTAATACGTACATATATACAAATAGTGTGTGTGTAATTTTAAAAATTAATTTGGGAGATTTTCTTTCCCTTGGAATTTCTGTTATTTTTTCTTGCATTGTGAGTCCCTATCATATCTCAGGTTTTACTTAACTCTTAATCATCTTTTCCCTTCATTTAGAGCCTCTTTTTCTTAGTAATTTTCCTCAAAATGATCATACATGCTGGCTAGTAACAAGCATGTTAGAGTTAAGCTGTATGAAATCTTGCAAAATTAAAAATGTCTTTAAATTGTACTGAATTGATAATGTGGCTAGTTAGCAGATACTAGGTGGAAAGGCCCAGCTCCTGCACGTTTCCCCACTGTCTTCTGGTATCCAGTGCTATTGACAAGAAGTCAGTTCCAGGACAATTCTTTTTTCTTCTTTGTGGCTAATCTTTTATTTGGCATCCTCTCTTTATTCATGGTATTCTAGAGTTTTATGATTATGTGTTGTTTTTTCATTTCTCTTGAAATTTATGCTTAATTTATGCTCCTTAATTTTAAGTCTTAGGTTTTCCATATCATTTTGACATTTTTTTTTTCATATTTCTTTAAAAATGATTTTCCCCTTTCTTATGCCCACTACCCCCTTTCTGGAAATCTTACGAATCCCATAGGTCTCCTGAGCTGATTTTCTCTTTCTCCTTATCTTGTACCGTTCTCTTAGTGATTTTTGCACTGCTTTCTGGGATATGAATTCTTTTTTACACAGCTGAATTAGTTTAGATTTTATTTTATATCTATTATTATGGCTTCTTTTCCTATCTTTGTTTTCTCAATCTGTTTTTTTTTTTCTCTTTTATATTAGGAAGAAAGAACAGAGAAAATTTAAATTTTTAAATTTTGAATTTTAATTTTTAAATTTTAAATTTTGAATTTTTAAAATTTATTAATTGAGAGATAAATATATTTGGGGTAATTAGATTACCACTGGTAATTTTACAGTTTGGTAAATAACAAGAATTCTCATAGTGTATTTCCTGTAGTACTTCTCACTTATTTTGAAAATGCTTACAACACAAAAAGGTTGGGTCTCAGAAGATAGTGGGTTTTTGTAACTCATGCCTTCCCAGCAGATGGTACAATGGTCTGGACCTCAGCAGATGGAAGAGCTGTTCAGGAGCTACAAATACTCAGGTGTTGTCTTCTTTCAAGATTTAAGTGATTGGCGCACTCCTTTACCTATTTTGATTAACCCTTTGTGAATTTAGGGCTATGGTGTAACTGGTACAGGATGCAATGATGTATATACTATTTTGCAAACTAAAATTTTTTGCAGGGGCGTACTGGGGATTGAACTCAGGGGTACTCAACCACTGAGCTACATCCCCAGCCCTTCTCGTATTTTATTTAGAGATAGGATCTCACTGAGGTGCTTAGTGCCTCGCTTTTCTGAGGCTGGCTTTGAACTCATGATCCTTCTGCCTCAGCCTTCTTAGTTGCTGGGATTACAGGTATGTGCCACTGCGCCCAGCAACAAAACTAAATTTTGAATACTTTTATGTAATGTGTATAACAACTCAAAATTATTCTGGTCATCATATAATGTATTTAGAAAAATACAGTTTTTGTTCCACTTTATTTAAAAATTTTATTTTGTTTGTTGAGTTTGGGTAGTTGTAGTTAAGCTGGTCAGTTAGTGTTATTATGTCCCCTATCCCACCCATTGGGGGTTAAACTCAGGGCCTTGAACTTGTTAACTAAGTGCTCTATCAGTGAGATATACCCCTAGCCCAACCTAGCTAGACTGTAATTCTCATCTTGGCTATTAATTCATTCCTTGAATTAGTGTAATGAAGGTTCTAATTGGTGATTTTAAGAAGCTATTGCATGTCTTTTGTGTGACATATTTTATACATTTAAGAATAACTCACTTAAAGGGTAGAACATTTTGAAACTATGTATGTCAAGGTTGGCTGTAAGGTTGTGGATGAATACTTTACCCTAGAAAATTAAGGTAATGTGTGAGAGGACACTTTTTTGGTAACATAGGCCTTGGTTAATAATGAGAGTGTCCTGACTCTCTATATATTCTCCTGCTTTATCTGCTTCTTCTAGACCTCTAAATTTATATGAACACTATCATGTGCTAACTGTTCATTAGTCTTACTTCTTTTCTCTCTTCTTTTTGCAGTTCTGGGGATAGAACCCAGGTTCTTGTACATGCCAGGCAAGCATTCTACCACTGAGCTATAACCAAAGCGCTGTTAGTCTTACTTCTCATTTAAGTTGCACTATTTGTAGAGAATAAACTCAGTGATGAATAGATTTATTACAGTTAACAATAACAACTTCATAATCATAAAAGGTATTCAATATTGAAAAGGTTAATTGTAATGATAATACTTCAACAAGAAATGTTAGAGGAAATTGTTAACATTGTTAGTGTTGCTATGCCTATAACTGGTGAGTTACAATGTTTCTGAATAGTATTGACACCCTCTCCCCTGTTGTTAGGAGAGGTGTGAAAAGACACATATAAATATGTCTTATGGTTAAGGGTAAATAAACTTTGAGAGTGTTTTGACCATACTTTCCTTCTTGTTGGCATTTAGATTTCTATTTTTCCCTTTCTCCCAGGGTATATTTAAAAAAAAATCTTAACTTTAACATTTTCCAGAAAATAGAAATATTTTTAAACTAGTGATTGGTGGTATTGTCAACTTTAAACGAATCCTCTAAGATTGATCTTTATCAATGGATATTGTAGGAAAATTTAGTGAGTAGCAGTGCAAAAGCTATTGGAACAAAAGTTCAAAGAGATAAAATTTTGTAACAGTGGATTCTTTTCAGGTGGCAGGTGTGTATACGTGTGTGTACGCGTGCACGTGCATGGGTGTGTGTGTGTGTGTGTGTGTGCATCATTGTGTGTTTTTTCCTCATGTGGGTTTATTCAGTGGAAAGTAATATGGCAAGCAGATTTTAACATAGATATTGATGAATTTTTAAATTTTATCTTATTTGTTTGATAGATACAAAAATGTTTTTGTACATAATTATTTGGACTGCATTATTTTGGATATTTTAATAATTTTTTTACTATTGTCTGTAAGTTGAAAAGTACTACTTTTATTGTGTTTGTTGCTTAAGTATGTAATTACCTGGGTAAAGCTTTCCAGAGACGCAATTTGAATGATGTGGCTTGTCAAGAGATACAGTAGATGAACCTGCTGTCTTCAGATGGGGGCGTAGGCAATGCAGACTACAGTGTTAGGAAGTGCTTTCTTTCCTCTAGGTTCGGCTGCAGTGATCATGGAAAGGGTGTGGTAGCATTTGGTAGCACCCATTTGTTTCAAGCAGAGACAGTAGATCTTTTTGAAGAAACTGTGCGATAAGTTAGTGTCTTTCTCTTTTCTCCCTCTTTTCCTACAGGGCCCTTGTGTTCATGATGAGGACTCTGGCCTATCACTCATAGGAAAACCTGCCCTTCAGGCTCTTTTATATCACTGCCATTTTTATGAACATTTGAATCAGATGGTGAAACACTGTTACCTAGGACTGTATAGGTTTGATTTGAACTCTTCTGCTTTTGTAATTTCAGAAGGCAGAGATTCAAATGGTAAGTAGAATATCTTTATATTTTACTTTTACAAAATGCAACTATTTAAAAAGATGTTCGAACCACGTGTGTTTGTTAAAAATCACTTGGAAAAATAATAAAAACTACATGGAAGATATTTAATTTAAATGGAAGATAACCTTATATTCTATATATTCCCTTGTATTATACATTATCACCTCCAGTCCTAATACCCAGAGGGTACCCTTGTAATGTTGGAATACATTTTTTCCAGTCTTCTTTCTCCGTGTAGCTTCTGTCTGTTTTACAGAATCATGTTCAGGTTTTTTGTGCATTTTTGTATTCCCTTCTTTCACTAAACATTGCTCAAGAATTTTTCTGTTATGAATTCTTCATGGAAGCCATTTTTGATACCTTACTGTTTCACAAGTTTGTTTCATGCTTTTCAGTGAACTTTTATAGTTTTTTTCCTCTATTCATATTTCTTAAACTTTTTTGGAACACTCATTCCTTGGCAGATTATGATCCTTTTACCCTTCTTGTGAATGACATCTTTTCCTACTAAATTTTTAAATTTGTTTTGCTAATGGTTTGAAAAAGCTGTTTATTTTTGGTATATTACTCATTTATCAAAATATATTGTTGAAATATTTTTGGTTCTTTATGTAGATGCTCTTGGATTTTCTAATAGGTATTAGAACATATAAATAATTGTATCTCATAAAAACAAATAGTTTAAAAAAATTGCCTTGTATTTTTAAGTTAATTTTTAAAAGCAATTTTTTTAGAATCTTGACATAATTTTACACTTACAGAGAAGGTTAAAGCATTCTACAAATTTTCCCCAAAGTTAACATTAGTATTTACTTCCTACTTCATGTGTATTTGTGAATATAAGTAATATTTGTTTACATGCATGTATATAAGTGTTTTTTTTCTGCACCATTTAAAAGTAGGTTGCAGACATGAAGTTTTTTTATTCCCAAATACTTAATTGTGAATTTATAGTTCACTTTCCTGTTCACTCCCTAGAGGAATCTAGAAGAAAGTAGATATTTGATAAAGTTTTTGAACATTCTGAATAAATGTTCCTATTAGGAAAGTGACTTGTTTAGATTTTTCCAGATCTTTGTTACTCAGATCATGGCTCTTGAACCAAGTGTCTTGTAACCTGTTAGAAATGCACATGCGTAGCCTCCATGCTGGCTTAGGGTGTTAGACTTTCTGGGACTAGGATTCAGGAAACTGCTTTAACAAGCTCATGATGATTCTTGCACATTAAAAGCCTTTCTCTGTAGACCTTGGTTGGTTTCCAGAGATGAGTATTTTTCCTATTATTGCAGTACCTAGGAGAGTGTCCATGTTAACAACTTTCTTGTTGTCACAGGTTTGGATGACTCATTTAAGTTTTGGAGGGCTCCATCAAGAATGTCCAGTCAAGATCATGATCCAAGTTCTCTCTCCACCACAGAAACAATGGTACTTGCAAAGAATGTATGAGTACTTACTTAGTTTTAATCTCTGAAAAATAATGATGAGATAAGAACAGATATAGACTATAAGGTTATGATTATAGTAGATATGAGTTTTTATGAAGTGTTCTCTGTGCAGAATTCTGCTTTTTTTTTTTTACTTAGATTATTGCATTTAACCTATCACCAGTCATACATGGTAGATTCTTTTGTGCTTTTCTATATAAGCAGGTCACTCAGAAGTTAAGTAACTCTGTGATCAATTGTGCCAAAAGTAGCAGAGATAGAACTTCAAGTTAGGTTTGCTTGCTTCCAATTATAGTTGCACTAATATCCTTTTAGTTGAGAGTTTTTTATTCCTCTTTTCTACCTTTTTTCAGAGAATCAATAGCATAAAAACTGAAAATATTTAGCTTTAATAATAGAAGAAAAAAGCCTCTATGTGATTAAAAATAATTATCCTGAAACCTCACTTAAAGGCAAAGCATCATGATAAAGTTTACCCATTCAAATAATTCCAGTGTGGTATGAATGATTTAAAATACATCCTAAAACTCGAATCACATAGAAACTTCTCTAGATTATCTGAACTACCTGAAATGTATGTAAGCTAGCTTACCACCTGTCTGCCCTCAGCTTTCATTCGTGCTTGAGTTGCTCTGTGCCTAATGATTCACACTAGCTTTCTCTTCGTTACAGGGGTACATAATCATTCTTCTCAATGGAAAAACATGTTTAATTTTAAAGTGTTTTGGATAGAGGACGTATCAGATATTAAACTGATAAGAACAGATACTACACATGATCTTAGCCAAAAGGCCGAGAAGAGGGAAGGGGAGGGGGGATAGTAGGGGATAGGAAAGGTAGCAGAATACAACAGTCACTAATATGGTATTATGTAAAAATGTGGATGTGTAACCAATGTGATTCTGCAACTTGTATTTGGGGTAAAAAATGGGAGTTCATAACCCACTTGAATCAAATGTATGGAAGATGATATGTCATGAGCTGTGTAATGTTTTGAACAACCAATAAAAAAAAAAAAGTGTTTTGGAGATTAGATAGTGACTGTGTTACAGAATCTATTAGAAAGGCAAAGGTTTTGAAACTTTTCAGGAGTAAAAACTTTTATGAAAATAATAAATAATTATTTAGACATTAATAAAATTTGCCTTCTACAATCTCCCAAACATGGGTACTTTTTGCTACAATTTTAAGAATATTTTTTTTCTTTTTTTCCTAGGAAAAGAGTTTGCTTAGTTCTGCATTGGGTTTGTATATAGAAAAGTGGGATAATTACCCTCCTTCCACTAGAGGTCATGCTTCCCTTTCCAGATCAGGGCTAGTGTATAGCTTTGTTTCAGCAGGAGAAACAGGATGGTTAAATGCCACAGTGAGTTCTGTTAATTGGTTATTTAGTTCACAGAAGGGCAGCATCAATTTATGCTTAAAAGTAAATCATCTCAGGTTGTTCTGTTAAAAGGACTATAGAATAACTTTAGAAATATTGTACATTCTTCAGTTCTTTCTTTATTGTAGGTACTGAGTAAATAGTAATTTCTCTAATTAACTTTGAATTATCATGGCTAATCTGTAGACACCATTCAAGCTGTATTTTTTTCCATCTATACAAGAAGACCTAAGAACGAAAAGCAAAATCAAATCAAACTTTTACATTTCTTTATTTTATATCAATATATACATTTTACATGTTAGAATGCTATATTTTCTGAGAATAATTTTGGAACTGTTTATTAAAAATCATTATTAAAACAGAAGTACTGGGCTGGGGATGTGGCTCAAGCGGTAGCACGCTCGCCTGGCGTGTGCAGGGCGCTTGGTTCGATCCTCAACACCACATAAAAATAAAATGAAGATATTGTGTCCACCTAAAACTAAAAAATAAATATTAATAAAAAAATAAAACAGAAGTACCTCTGTGCTAGTCAACTTTCTGTTAGTCCACAAAATACCTTAGACACTCCATTTAAAGGGAGGAAAGGTGTATTTTGGCTCATGGTTTCCCGGGGTTTCAGCCTCTTGCTCTGTTGCTCTGAGTCTGTGTTGGCATAGTGCATTCTGACAGGAGCATGAGGTAGAGGAGGCCCCGTTACCTCATGGCAGCCAGCAAGGAAAGAGAACAGGAGGAAGGGGCTGAGGTCCCAGGATCTGCTGGGATCCTGGGACAGGATCACCAGATATCTAACTTCCTCCCCTGGGCCACCTCTTGAGGGTTCCAGCCCCTGCCCCCCAATAACACTGTATCCTGAGCACCAGGCCTTCAACACATGGGCCTTTTGGGCACAAAGTTCACACTGCAACAACGTCTATTCATGTAAAGGTCTTTAACTTCTTTGTGTGTGTGTATGTGTGGGGGGGTTACATAGACTTTGAAAAATATACCATTGAAATATTTTAATTTTTAAAAAATTTTAATATATAGTTCTATATAGCATAGAAATTTTTTTTCCCTGATAGACTGATATTTTGTTAGTATTTTTCAGTCAACTCTTTTCCATTTTTTTTTTTTTTTAATTTGTAGACAGAGACTTTGGAATTGGTGGATTTTTTTCACAAAAATAGTCTTGTTACCCTAATTCTACTATTTGTCATGTTTTCTTTATCATGCCTCATATGAAGTATATTATTGTCCCAAAAGGAGAACAATCTGGAGAGTTTATTATGCCAGAGCAATTATATTTGGGCCAAATAATATTTTCTCTAGTATAAGAGAAGGTCGAACTTTCAAATTGAGGTATAAATTGAATGAGTGTAAATCTTGCCAATTTGCTTATCTGGTTATTTATATCTTTATCTCCTAGACTAGAAAAATTGCAGTTTTTTTTTTTTTTTTTTTTTTTTTTGGTTGGGTTTTCCATTTTCTCTTTCTAAGGAAAGCATAGTCTTTTTTGATGTGGGTCGTATTATACACTGTGCTCTTACTGGGTCATTATCCACTCTTTGCTGTTAATGCCACACTAGGGGTTTTAATAGTGTTTTCTAATGAATATTAGTTCATTTGGTTGGCATGCTTTGTGATCACTGGGACCTGTATGTTTTATTAACTGCAGATAGAGTAAGCTGGGTATCATTGTTACCTTCAGCGTGTTGTCCTTGTAAGTGCTTCCTCAGAAGTGGCCCCCCTCCAACTCAGGCATTTGGTATTGTTTTTCCTCCCAAAATCACATTTCTGTTCTCAAAGTACCCAAAATGGCTGTGTGTGTTTATGTCTCGTACCATACCAGTAGGTAGCAACAGCTTGATGGCCAAAATTTGGTCATTTCTGTTGCTTTTGAGCTGAGCAATGTGTGCATTTTTAAAAATCTGTTATATATCTTTGTGAAATATGTGGAGAACGAGTCTAAAGAATTGTTACCCTAATTCTACTGCTGATTTTAGTTTATTTCATTTAAAGAGAATTTAACTCATTAATCTTTTTTGTCTAACTAAAAGTTAGTCTTACTCTTCTGTTTTACAAAAGAGGAAATATTTGGCTTTAGCTGTTGGTCACCAAGGTGTACGCTACTCCAAAGCCAGACGTGTGTGATGCCATAGTAGATATTGGTGTGTGATGCTATAATAGATATTGGAATCAAGTTGCAGTGCAGTTACCCTGGACGGATGATGAAATAGAAAGTGATTTTATGTAGTAAGTAGCAACTGAAATGGTCTCTAATACCCACTTAGTTAAACATCTAGTTGAGAGCATAAAGGGTAATTAGAAAATAACTGGATACTAACTCTTTTATATTGAAAGTATTAGACTTTCAGAATATGCATGGGATTGTTTGGTGTAGAGTATGTGGGTGGGTAAGTCTGAAGATTGATTACCAGAGTAACCATATAGCAGTTAGTCAAGAAAGTTGAGTCAACTTTGGATTTGAAGATATAATAGCAATTAAGGTAAAGATACAGGGGCTGGGATTGCAGCTCAGTGGTAGAGTGCTTGCCTCGCATGTGTGAGGCACTGGGCTCGATCCTCAAAACCACAAAAAGTAAAACAAAGGTATTGTGTCCATCTACAACTGAAAAAAGAAAGAAAGGTGTTTCAGTAAAATGAAATGGCATGAAACATTACAATTTAAATTAGAAAAGTAATGTATTGACATTTGTTTAGGAGTTAGTTAAAAAATGTTTCATAGAATGAAGAAGAATAGACCAAGGACGATTTAAGCAGGGATGGATCCAAGAGGCATTTTGAAGAAAAGTAGTTTTGACATAGGCATCAATGATTTGGCGTGTGTGTATCTCCAATAAAGTGACCAGAGGAAAACTTGAGAAGGCAGTGTGTCCCATAGTGGAGATTGTGGAGAGGAATAAAAGGAATAGTATGCTTTGTTAAATAAATTTCAACTCCCCGTGGATTACCAGGGACTAAAACTCTTGTTTTCTAGTTCCTGAGTATGTTAATGTTAATGTAGATCACTAGGGTACAGTACAATGAAAAAGAACAAGCTTTTTTTTTTCTTTTGGGTTTTTTTGGTATAAAAATTTAATATTAAGTCTATTAATGAAACTTAAATATTGATGGTTACTGATACATATCATTTTTCTTAATGAAATAATATTTAGAATATAATGTTAGAATGACTATAATAGGTAAAAATAGAATATTCATCCTGTTCTATTTGCATAACATTATTTTATAAAAAATTACTCTTTTAAAAAATGTTATTAGAGCAAATGAGATTTATGTTTCTCTCTCTTTTTTTATAATTATTTTAAACAGACTAAAGTATTTTGAACAAAATTTCAGTGATTTTATTGAGCAGGTAACTACAACTGAGTAAAATACATTTGGATCTTTTTTTATATTTGTGCCAAAATTATATTTTGGTAACGGCTTGATCATTTTATATAATATTAAACTGCTATGTATAGAAAGAGTCAACTTTCTCACATTTTAGATCTCAGATTACTATAATTTCTAGTTTGCCATGGGCTATTTTACCTGTATTAAATGCTGTGAGTGGATTAAATTGTTAGATCCACACCATTTGTTGGTGGAACCCTTTTTACACATGAAGAAATAGCTTCAGAGAATTAGAATTTAAGTATTTGACCACAAGGCTTAAAGGAGGAGGGAATGAGATAAGCACTGGAAAATTTGTTCTCCCTCTAAAGGCAGCACAGTACAGGGGCTGTGGCTCCTGTGGTATCCAGGTCTGCAGTTAAGTGGTCTTCTAGTTGACATCAGGAAGCTCATATCATCCCCTGCTGTTTCTTTCAATTGTGCTTTTCTGAGCTTTCTTTTTTTTTTTAATAGACTATACACAATCCATTGAAGGATGAATCTATTTCAGTTGAGCTGATTTAAATTTCTTGTTACAAATTAGAATTGATGATTACAAATTGGAAAGCAGGAGGAAGGAAGCCTTTGTGCTCTTAAAATCTGTTCATAAAATGGGCCATAGATTCCTATAGAAACTTTTAAGTTCTACTCTTTTGCCATGTTTTTAAAAAATGCTACTAGATTTGTTAGTCATCTTATATCTGAAAGTTTATACTCCTCGATCAGCATCTCCCTATTTTCCCAGCCCTAGCTCCTGGCAACCATATTTTGATTTATTTGAAGCAGTTTTAGGACAGTGGCTTTAAGTACCATCAGTGTTATCTCTTCTGACTAGCTCTTACCGCTTTCTCTGACATCAGTAAGGAAATACGGCTACAAGTGTATAGACTTCAAAGAAAACTGCTTTACTTGTCTTATCAAGGGCATATAAATTGAAAACCTTTGGCTATGTCCTATGACAGATGGACAAAATTATAATTTTACACTGAAGCCATTTTAGTGAGTCTAGAAAGTGATGGTTACAAAAATTAGATAGACTGACTAGGACAAGAGGACAACCCTAAGCCCCCCACTTGGGGCTTCCTACTTAAAATGGGTTGGAGAGCAGAGAGAATGAGAATTCTGTGTTATGAAGAAGGAAGGGGAGTTTACAAACCTCAGCATGCTCCAGTCCAAGTACTTTCTTGTCATACACATGATGCTGAACTGAGGGTCCAAATTGATGATCTGAGCTGGGCAAATCCCTTAACTTCGTAGTCCTCATCTCTAAGGAAGGATGAAACTGCACCTTCAGTAGTTAATGTGTGACTACCAAGGCTCCAAGTGAAAGTAACAGATTTGCATATCAAGCGTATTATCAAATATAATCAAATTAATATTGGTGATTATTTCCAAACAAGCACGAATTTGAGCATAGCAATTCAGCTTAAGACTTTTTTGTTTTTACTTATTAAAGTAGTAATATGGTAATACAAATTTCAAAAAGGATAGTAGAAATATAGATAACCCCAAATCAACTAATAATGTATTACCATATGAAGAAGTCCTTGTGTGTTTCTCACGACATGGAGTAAGTTATAATATTGGTACTTTTTGAGAGCATCATTTATAAATTGGTGTCTTTTTCCTGGGCTTTATTGAGGAAATTTATGACGTTTATTAATGCCTCACCTTTGATCACAAGTGACTCCTTTGTGTTCTTCATATGAGCCAGATATTTAGTGAGCTCTTATAAACTTTGCTTTCTTACCCGGAATGCTAAAACTACAAACCAGTTCCCTGTCTCTGTTTGTATCAGTAATGATAAGGGCTTCTTGAGTTGGCTCTTGAAAGAATGTTCAGTGGAATGATAAAAGGGTTCCACCATCATTTGTCCCCTTAACTTTCTCACATAGCCAAAGGAGTTTGTAGTAGGAGACAGATAGATTAACCCACTCCTGCATAGTCTATGATATCAGTATTTGTGTTTGTTTTCTTCCCAGAACTGAAAACTTATCTTAATGTCTGTTAACAGGAACATTTTTTACATACCTCTCATTCCAACCTGAGCAAATACATTTTTTTAAATGAACAAAATTTTTTCCCTATTATTTGAATCTAATAGAAAATACGAGACTTAATGCCTGTTTATGAGTGATTTATTTAGACTGAACTAAGTAGCCTTAGGTTTTGCTTTTATTGATCATAATAACCCTAAGGTACAACACTTTAAGTGTTAGGTCTATACACAATCAACATATGAATGTTACACACCACGTAGTACCTGAGTCTGCACTAGCATTGATTTATAAGTTCTGTTGAAACCAGTTGCCCTGTGCTTGCACTATCCCAGAGACTTCCTTGGTGTGAGCACCTCATGCCCTCTTCCAGAGAAGAAATCAATGGTGAGAAAGACAGAGTTATCTGACCTTGCTGGATATGATGTTTTTATGTAGGAGGTGCCAAACACATTAACCTGGGTGCTTTTAGTTGTAGGAGGCTACACAGTCTACTCATCTCTAAGCCTTTGGGGTGAAACTGCATTTGCTTTCCATAGCATTTGCTGTTTAAAATTTTAAAATATGCTGTATTCTGAAGCATAGTATCAAAATGTTGAATTCTTAAAGAATTCTTTTTCTGGTATGAGACAAGGTAAAGAAAAATCTTTTAATACTTCTGCTAATTTTTATATGCATTATTAAAGTAGTGTGTGCTATTCAAAACATTAAAAAACACTTATTATAAATCCAGAAGTGCAAAGTATCTCAAGAATCTAAAGAATTTTAGGTAAAATAGTTTATTTTAGCCTTTCAACATTTGGGCAATGAGGAAGTAGACTTAGGAAGCTTAGCTTTATATCAAAACTGCTTCTTTGAGTTACTGATTTATGTCAACTACAACAGTTCTTATAAGTAGTTGAAAAAGCTGTTAAAAAACCTGCTATATCTGTCAAGATATGGAACGTTCTCTAGTTGAGCCAACTGTTATAATTCTGTTCCAAACCTTCCTGCCTAAGGTTGTCTTGTGTTCATGCTGCATGTGTTTCCTTTTCTAAGCTATGTTAGTAAGATATTCTTCCTTCCTCACCCATAGGTGGCAGCCTCAGTGGGCAGTGCTGAAATCCAGCCACCTGTGCAGTCAGTGGTGCTACTTCCTGAAGCCTCACGTGACCAGCCGATGGCTCAAGGTATCCTTCTAGAAAGATATTCTGCTTTCAAAAAGAAAAATGATAAGTTGATCTAGGCATATATTTTTAAAGAACAAAATGTTAATGGAATAAGTCACAGAATATGATGGAATAAATATTTCAGAAATTAATAAAACAAGTGCTCTTAACTAGTAAGTAAGAGTTTGGCTATCATATAAATAATCTGATAATAAGGTTCCTTATTGGTTAAGTATAGATATTTAGTATTTGAGTCTAGAAACCAGTGAATTTTAGTTAATTCTTTTTTTTTTTTTTTTTTTTTTTTAGCTACCTTTTTTGGGAAAACACTTTACCATAGTTGTCTACTTGAAAGTAAAGAGATTCTAATCATAAATTTCTAAGGCAGTGCTTCCATTTGAAACAAAGAAAATCTGTTAGAAATACATGATGAACAACCTGGGATTTACTTTATTCATGGCAATATATTAATTTTATTACTTTCAATTCTGTTTTGCTTTAAATTTTATTTTGAAGACTACAGTGTAGCTTTTGTTAATTTTCTAGAAGTATATTAACTTTATTCAGTAAGTTTATATTCCTGACCTAAAAGGAATATGGATTCTAAAACGAGAATAAGTTTAAACACTAAAGTATAGCATATACACAGAAAATCCTTTTAGAAATACTTGCTGAATTAAAACTTTGCATATTCATTCCAGTAATTTCCTAGTATGTCATTTCTATTTTTAGTAATTCATGTTAACAGAATATGAAAGTGTTTAATTTAGAAAATGTTCATTTGATTTTCTGTATAATTTGATTTTTTGGAAATCTTTAGAGAATTAATAATAAGGCTAATTTGAGCAGCAAAAGAGTTTAGTAAAATAGCATGACATAAAATGAAAATAAAATTTAATAAATTTAATATATGCACATAAACAATTAGAAAGGGTAATGTTATGGAAAACCACAGTTAATAATAGCAAAAAGAAGATAAAATAATAGGAATAAACTTAATGAGAAATATGGAAAACAAACAGAAAAGTAAATGTAAGCAAATGGAAAGACTTTCTTTATTTTCAGGTGGGATGATCCAACATCAGAAAGATATCAGTTCTTCCTAAATTAATCTCTATGTTTAATATTGTCCTAATAAAAATATCAACAGACTTTTTTAGGGTGAACAAAATTTTATTCATGTGGAAAAATGAGGGTTCAAAAGTAGCCAGGAAAATATTCAAAAAAGGGAATACCCCTTCTGAACATTAAATCAGACTAAGAAAAATACTTAAATCAGTATTTATGTTACTGCCACATGAAAAATAAATAGAATTGAAAATATATCCTGGATGGTTCAATTTTCATCCTAAATCTATGGATGGCACATGGATCTCTTGACAGAGAGGCGGGAAGCTGTGTAGCTAGTTGCAGTGAAACAGAAGAGGTCTATGTACTTCAGGTCAACATGAGAAACACTTGGGTCCTCAAATCAAAATCATGGGCATACCAGAAGTAAACATATAAGGATTCCTCATAAACTCAGCATAGGGAAAGATTACCCAATTATGCCTCAAAATCCAGATAGAATGAGAAAAGACGGACAAATTTTACGGTAATTAAAAGTAAGTTTTGCAGGGCAGAAATTGCCAAAATCAAAGTCAAAAGACAAATCAGCAAAACTATTTGCAACATTACTCATAGATGGAGATATTTAAACATGTAACATAAAGCATTCTTAACATTTGAGGAGGAAACGAACCCTAAGCCTCCTGTGAAAGCAAGTAGAAGACGTGAGGAGGTAATTCACAAAACACATAAAAATAACTTAACCTTGGTTAGTACTAATTTATACCCCACTGAGATCCAACAATTATAAAGCATTGGCAGTGGATTCTGTTGGCAAAACTGTGGAAAATGGGCACTCTTATACTTTGATGGAGGAGATGCACTGGGCATAATATTTCTGGAAGCAAATGTAGTAGTATCTAATAACTCTGCATGTGTATTTACATTATGTAAATTATAAGTAGGAATTCCCTTTGGCTCCTCACCAACAATGAAAGTACATATGCATGTCGTTATTTCATGCAGTGTTGTGTGGAAGGAAAAATAATGGAAACAACCTGAATTCCCATCATTGGGAGAGTGGCTTTTAAATAAACATCTACCCAATGAAGAACTAACTATACAGCTATTAAGAAGAATAAGGATTATGTCTTCAAAATAATATGTAGTGATTTTTCAAGAAATATTAAGTCAAGAAGGCACACTGCAAAAGAGTGTAATAATTTTCTATTGTTTGTGTAAGAGAAAAAATTTTAAAAATTCATTTATCTCCTCGTTTATGCAAAAAGATATAAATAGAGAATTAACAGGAAACTAAGGAGCTTAGTTATGAGGGTGGATGGCAGTTAGGCAGGAAATGCCAGCATATGGGAACAGGGCTGAAGAGCTAGAAGTGGAGATAGTGGCTTTTCTCTGCATATGCCTTCTTGTGTAGCTTGACTTTCGTAACAGTGAATATTTCATTTGATGTGAAGAAAAATAAAATTAAAAATGGGGAAATAACATGGAACTCAAACAAATTAATCTAGTTACATTCCACTTACTTGAATAACAATTGAAGCGAGTCAGGAACTCTAACCCAAGATAACTCCTTTTTTTTTTTTTTTTTTGTATTGGAGATTGAACTCAGGAGCACGTGGCCACTGAGCTTCATCCCCAGCCCTATTTTGTATTTTATTTAGAGACAGGGTCTCACTGAGTTTCTTAGTGCCTTGTCATTGCTGAGGCTGGCTTTGAACTCAAGGTCCTCCTGCCTCAGCCTCCTAAACTGCTGGGATTACAAGCATGCACCACTGCATCTGGCCAAAGTTAACTCTTGAGCATATTTAAGGCTCTTGTCCTAAGACTAACACTGAAGAGAACTGTAAGCAAGCATTGGGTTCTTTTTACTAGTTTTACTTTTTGCAGTAGTATGAGTTAACAGTTCTGAAACTACTTAATATGTGTCTAATGCTGGGTAGATAGGTAAATGTATTGTGAATGATGAAAGCCAGGTTTCTTCCTTTCATATAAATGAATTATAATATGGGAGGGGGAAAGATATCCAATAGACCATACAGGGTTAGGTAAATTTGGAGATTTCTGCATGAATTAGTGTTTTTAATTAAGAGGTAAAGAGGCGTGTGTACTTGTGTATGTGCATGAATGCATTCGTCTTACACACACACACAGGCACGTTTCCAACTCAGAAACAGTCACACACTAGAGCAGTATATGTACTTCAGGACCCAGATCTTTTCTTTGAATTCCATTTTCCCCTTCAAGGAATAAAGGCTTTTTGTGCTGGGAAAGAACAATATGAACTTGGAGCATCTTACTGTGCTAGAAAATAAGATTCTCTAATGTTAATTTGGTAAATGGTAAAAGGATTTAGGAATCATATTGAAGGGGCAAATTCCTGGGATAATTTGAATATCAAAATAAATAACGTGGGCTGGGGATGTGGCTCAAGCGGTAGCGCGCTCGCCTGGCATGCGTGCGGCCCGGGTTCGATCCTTAGCACCACATACAAACAAAGATGTTGTGTCCGCCAAATACTAAAAAAAAATAAATATTAAAATTCTCTCTCTCTCTCTCTCACTCTCTCTTTAAAAATAAATAACGTTAGGAGATTATAATATAGAATTAAGAATCCTTGAGTCATACTGATATGGATGAATGAGGGGAAGGGAATGTTCCTCCAGATAGTACAAAGTAAACTAAAATTGTTAAAAAAAAAAAAATGATAGAATTAGAAAAATCACTGTTTGACAATTGCTTTTACACAAAGGAAAACATAATTTTACAAAGAAGAAATTTAGTAGACACTCCCTTAATCAAATGATTAAAATTAAGGCCTCCAATAATGGGAGAAAATGAATTGTATTTCCCCTGATAAGTTCACTGAAAGTCTGTATTGTGAGGAAGCCCTAGGCATTCTGCACAAAACTGACTTGCATTCTTTACAAAGTGTCAGGGTCATGTAAGACTAAGCAAGATTGAAGGACTCTTCCAGTTTGGAAAGAAGATACCTAACAACTAAATTCAAAATAGTGTCCCAAATTAGGTCCAAAGAGGAAAAATATTTTTGATACAAATCTATAAAATGTATCAAACATTTGTGAAACAATTGCTAAAGTGGTTAGATAGGCCAGTGCATCAGGGTTAAATTCCTGGTTTTAAGACAATGTCCTTGTTTTTAGGAAGGAAATTAATTTAGGATTAAAGAAGCATTATATTAGCAGTTCATAACATGAGAGGTGGGTTGATAGGTAGATAAATAAAATATGGCAAAATAACGTAACGATTATAGGTTTTGGAGAATTCCTTGTACTTATGTTTTTCTGTAAGTCTGAATTTATTCAAGGTATAATGTTTTCTTTTAAAAAGAAATAAGCAGTGAAGGTAATCATGGAAAGTGTTGAAGCAGATTAGTCTGCTAGGAAAGATCCACAATCCCAATATCTTCAAATCTAAAACCTGCAATCCCTCAAACCTGTTTTCTCAGTTTCTTCAGCTGTTAACTCAATTAATAGCTAAATTTGGCCACACCCAAATATATTTGGCTTTTAATGACCAGTGCTGATTTGAGGTTCTATTTACTCCTTTATTTACCCTGTTGTAAATGCACATCTGCTCTACTGTAGGAATATTTATATGGGATGTTATCTGAGGTCCCATTGGAGGTGTTAATGTGTACTACCTGTGCCTTACTGCTTCTGTAAAATCCAAAAGTATTTTGAATTTGGAGCCTAGAAAGTTTTCAGAAAAAGGATTGAGGACAGTCTGTTGGTTCCGCAGTGTCTGAACACTTAGGGCACAGGGTCATGTTCTGTTGTTCCTGCCTTGGCTGGTCAGTGTTCTTAGAGAGCATCCACGTACACCTGTGGACATACATGCACACACACACAAACAGTAGAGCATGGAGGTAGGGAATGCAAGGAGCAGCCTGATTCCCCAGCCAAAGGGTTAAGATGAGTCCAACAACTAGGAGAATTAGCCAACCATCTGTTTAATAATTTTTAGTACTTTTCCTTTGATTATAAGAACTTGGGAATATTATGTATAACTACAGATAAATTAAGTAATAATTTTGTGTTTATTTTCAATAATAGGTGAACACGAACCTACATCATCACGGCCTCCTCCTCATTCGCCCCTGTCTGCTCCACTACCCCAACAGTGTGTTTTTGTTACTGCGTCTCTTCTTTCAGCCATCTGCAGCCTCTTGGACAACCTCTTGGTGACTGCTCCAAGAGACACTGTGAATGCTTTTGGGAAAGCTCATCTCATAGAGCTTCTCTGTGGGTAAGAGATGAATGCTGCAAGGCAGGCATGGCTCAAGGTGAATTGACGTAGGGTATGCCTGAAATGATGTGAGACTTCGTGTGTGCTGGCAGCTCAGCTCCTTCAACTCCGGGGTTTTGTGTTTGCCACAATTGTCTCAACAGTTTTTTTTTTTTTTTAAGGTCTATTAAAGCTTGTTAATTTCTAAGGCCAAAAGAAAAAAAAAAGTTTTTAATTCACTTTTCTCAACCTTATTTGTCTTCTAGCACATTCAAGGAATATGGTATAATTCCCTTGTTGATTATTAATTGTATGTGAAGGAGTTTGAGGATCCATCTCTTTAGTAATCATATCAGAATAATATCCCTGAGTTGAAAAGCTATTGTTTAACTTCATTTGGAGTTATGTTGCTATGGGAAACTAAACTTTTTAGCAGACAATATTTCATTATTAACCAGCTATAAATGTTTAGGGGTATCAGGATTTGATTCTTCAAATTTTTATATTCAGTTGCCTAATATTAATGAACCTCTGATATAATTTTGTCCTGATTTTTCTTATTAAGTGTAGTAGAAAAGGCCTAGATATTGAATTCAGGCCCATCTGATCTTACGATTTTTTCATGCAGTCATGTCACAGCCTTGGGAAATTATTTTAATGTCTAGATTATGATTGATGATACTGTTGAAGCCAGGTGCAGTGGTGCACTCTTGTTGTACACCTCAGGAGGCTGAGGCAGGAGGATTTCAAGTTCAGAGCCAGTCACAACAACTAGTGAGGCACGGTCTCAAAATAAAAAATAAAAAAGGCCAAGGAATGTGACTCAGTGGTTAAGCACACCTAGGTTCAATCCTGGTACCAAAAATAAATAAATGACATAAATGAAACCATTGAATGGAGTCCGTAGGAAGATTCAAAGTGGTGGAGTCCAGGCTGCTACTCTGTGTGCACTGAATGTATGTGTCTTTTCTTCCTGACATCTAGTCTTGTTCTAGCCAAGTGTACCCACCTCCTTTAACCACATATCCCTCTGCCTCTCTACCTTTGAACATTTACTATCTGATATGTCTTTGTTTTCTTCAACAAATCATAATACCTTCTCTTTCTTTTAGGTATGAAATAGCTGAAAGCAAAGAAATATTCTTTGTTCTACTTTACTCAGTTGCAGTTACTCCTTTAACAATGCCCTATAACTTCTGTTTGTTAGTTTTTCTGCTGTGATGCCTGTTAGGGTTGGAAAACTGTTAGTTGGTTGGCTTCTCTTTCCTGCCCGCTGCTGCCTCAAGAATGACCACATGGAGCTCTAGGAACATCCTGCATCTTAGGAGTCAGCTGAGGGGGTGATGTGGCCTTGAGGCCACAGCCATGTTAAAGGCTCTTTCTGGAAAAGGCTTATCATGTTTCCATACCTGTTTTTCTTTTTTTATGACTTAAAAAATAATTTCGTTGGTTTTATTTTGTTTTTACTTTCCAAATATGAACATATTTCCTAGCCTGTGTGTTTGCTGTTTTGAACGGGAAAAGCACTACCCAGGTTTTACTTTTGTTTGCTTTCCTTCTGAGTGGGCTTGCATTATATTTTATTCTGCTTCTAATAAAGTTTCCTTAGATATTCTTTTCTGCAGAATTCTTTGCTTCTCAGATTTATCTAACAAGATAAATTTATCTTGCTTCTCACATTTATCCTATTTTCTCAAATACACTTGAAAATCTTTTGTAAACATTTTCTTATAAAAATCATTTTTCTTGATTTGAATTCATGTTTACCTTCAAGCATTAAATTCTGATTTATTAACGTTTAATAAGAAGCATGCTGACCATTTGTAGGGTTTTCTTTTTCTGTTCTTTCCAGCATTGTGGATGCCACCTTTATTGAGGCGTGTGTTCAGGAACTCAGGACCTCACTGCCTTCATCACCCCCAGTTGAACATGTCCAGGCTCAGGTCAGTGTTTCTTGTCTGCCTCTTATCTCATGTCTGTGAATTCTTTTGCCTTTAGTGCCAAAAAAAGTAAGTTCTGCTGAGGAGATCTAAACACAGGAGAGGATGAAAATCTCTCAGGATATATATGATTGGTGAGATTATTTGAAATAGGTTTCCTTGGGTGGTAGAAGAGAGCAGTAGGCCTGAAGACCTAGGTAGCATTCCTGACTCCATCATTAACCAGCTGCTAAGGTTTAGTCAAGTGTCTGGGTATTGTTGAGCATCACTTAACAGGGAACATTGGCATAGCCCATCTACCCCTTTTATGATTTTAGGCCATCTCTTATGTATCTATTATTTCACCCAAGTTGAAGTTGTTAAAATACCTGGTGGTTAAATTATGTATATTTTCTTAATCTAATCTGTTAGAAATAAATTTATATTTTTTCCTTCATAGATATATACTGTTTCAAGTTCTTACCTTTAGTTAGATTCTGTATGTAAAATATGCTTAACAATTTTTTGTGTAGTTGTTACTGATACAAATTTTATCTCAAATCTAATTTTAATATGGACTCCCAAGAATTTTTTAATGAAAGAAAGATGAACTAGATAAGGAACTGTAACTTTGAGGTGTGTTCTTTGAGTTGTCTGAATTTGGCAGATTCTATTGAAGACCCTTGGGAACACAGTGCACATCATCTCTGAAGCAGTTCAGCATTGTGGTTTCCTTTGACTCTGCTTGTTTGCATAATGATTGTCTCTTCCATTGTCTGTCAGCACATCACTATGGAGTGCTGCTATATACCAGCATCTCATGCAGGGAGAGCAGATAACAAGCACATCTGTGTATGTGTGATGATTACAGACATCTGAGAAGAAAACCTAAAGTAGGGGATTGGCAGTGATGTTGGAGTTGGGAGAGGAGACCTGTTCTACATGAGGTATCTAGAGAGGGCCTTTCAGACAGTGACTGGTAACCAAAAGTGAGTGAAGACGCTACGGACATGGCAAGATCCCTGTTATCCAGGCACACTTGATGTATGCAAAATACAGAACGAAGCTGGAGGGACTGAAGCTGAATTTGTGAGGGGCAGATGCAGCCAGAGGAGCATACTCAGCAAGAGGAAGGCAGCCTCTGCCTGTATGCTGTTGTGTCTTGACTGTTGAGCATAGGGCCTGTCTCATGGCAGGTGCTCACTGGGGAGTTATATAGTGAATATGTAGTAGCAGTAACAAACATTTAGGGGTCTTTGTTCAGCTAATTTATGTAATCCTAATTACAATAATATGAGGTATCATTAATGCCTCCCAACGTGAGCAACTTGTTGTAGGGCTCTCACTCAGTAGGGGGAAGAGCAAGGATTCTAGCCCATGAAGGTTGGTTCCAAGCCCATACTCCTGACCAGTGTGCTGGCTGCCTTACGTAGGTTAAGTGCTGTTGGCTTTGGGGGCATATATAAGAGCTTCAACTCATTCCAGATAATTCTTCAGCCTCCTCTATGCTAAATTCTGTTCTAGGTGCTAGCAAACATCTGTGAACAAAGCAAACAAACATTTCTGCCCACGTGCAGTCTATGTCCTTGTTGCAGGAGACAGACAGTAAGCAAGTAAATAAAATGTAAAGTATTGTACCAGATGGAGACAAATGGTATGGAAAAAAAACAAAATGAGGATGGGTAAAAGGCTGGAGCTTGAAGTTTTTAGGTAGAGTTGTCAGAAAAGATCCCATAGAGGTGAAGTTTGAGCACAGACCCAATGAGGTGAGGAAACCAGCTATGACTGTCTAGGGCAGGACTAGAGCCAGGGCTCCAGTACCAGGCTTGCAGTCTGTAAAGGTGCAGGTGTATTGGAGGTGCCTGTTGGTAGGAATTTTTTGAACATAGAAAAAAAAATACTTTTGAACTATTATATCAGTATTTTATTTAATCCTATTTATGCTAATTTACAAAAGACTTGTTAGCAAATCCGCTTTTCTCTGTAACACTTCTTGTTGTCTCTCACACTGAATCACGCATTTGTGATAATACTTCATAGGTCCAGAGACCAGATTTGGTATAATTTAAATAGTGGAGAGTATGAAGGGATCAAAACAGACTTCACAGTAATAACAAATTAAATTTTACAAACTGTTTCAGGAAATTGTGAGGTATAGAGCCACCCACACGTTTATATGAAATAAGTCAGAAAATTAGATAAAGGAGAAGTACGACAGAACAATTATTGTGTCATAGTCTGAGACTCTGTACCATAGAGGCAAATGCCTCTCCATTAACTACTCTTAAAACATTAAAATTTTCTCTGGTTAAATACAAAATTTGACTTTGAAAATACACCTTTATTTGGTGATGACAGCTGACAGTTCTATCGTGGCCATTAATGACATGCTTATGCAAAAATTAATCTTTGCTTGCTATGAATTAATTTCAGTTACAAGAATTATGATTAATATCTTATTAGTGTTTTATTGATTTATCTTACAATAACATACTGAAATAACATACTGCATAAGACAGTAAAATACTGTATGGCTGAGATTGATGGGCTTTTCTTTTTTGCTCACTTTCTAAATTCTTTTTATATATACATATGTGTTGAGTGTATTTTGATATAAATTATACATACATGGAATATAACTTACTCTAATTAGATCCCATTCTTGTGGTTGTACGTGATGTGGAGATACACTGGTCGTGTGTTCATATACGAACATAGGAGAGTTATGTCCTCTTCATTCTACTGTCTTTCCTACTCCCATGCCCACCTCTTTCCTTCAGTTCCTTTTCTCTAATCCAGTGAACTTCTATTCTGCCCTCCCCCTCTTATTGTGTGTTAGCTTCCACATAGCAGAGAGGAATTTGGCCTTTGTTTTTTTTTAGATTGGCTTATTTCTCTTAGCATGATAGTTTCCAGTTCTATCTGTTTATTTGCAAATGCCATAATTTCATCCTTCTTTATGGCTGAGTAAAACTCCATTGTGTCTATATATACCACATTTTTTTTATCTAGTCATCTGTTGAAGGGCGCCTAGTTTGGTTCCATAGCTATAAACATTGATGTGGCGGCATCACTGTAGTATGCTGATTTTAAGTCTTTTGGGTATATGCTGTGGAGTAAGATAACTGGGTCAAGTTTTTTTGAGGACTCTCTTTACTGCTTTCTGGAGTGGTTGCATTAATTTGTAGTCCCAACAGCAATGTATGAGAGTACCTGTTCCCCCACACCCTTGTCAGCATTTATTTTTTATTTATTCTCTTATTTTATTTTTATGTGGCACTAACAATTGAATCTAATGTCTCACACATGCTAGGCAAGCGCTCTGCCGCTTAGCCACAACCCCAGCCCCTCAGTGCAGTTTTAATTTGTATTTGTCTAACTGCTAGAGATGGTGAACATTTTTTTGTATATTTGTTAACTGACCATATCTTTTCTTCTGTGAAGTGTCTGTTCAATTCCTTTGCCTATTTATTGATTGGGTTATTTGGTGTTTTAGTGTTAAGCTTTTTTATTTATATATATATATATATATATATTTTTTTTTTTTAAATATTTTTTTAGTTGTCAATGGACCTTTATATGTGGTGCTGAGAATTGAACCCAATGCCTCTCACATGCTAGGCAAGCACTCTATCACTGAGCTACAACCCCAGTCCGGTATTAAGCTTTTGAATTCTTTATATATCTTGGAGATTAATGCTCTAAGGTGCAGGTAGCAAAGATTTTGAGATGTACTTTTCACATGACATGTTTCATTGTATTTTATTTCCTTTTACAACCAGGTTTCCTTTTTCTTGGAATACCTATCCTCTTTGTCCAGGCTTCTGCAGTCCTGTTTATTAGTGGAACCTAACCTCGTGACACAAGATGATCTTCTGAAACCTCTTATTAATAATATCATTAGAGTTCTCACTGTATGCATCAACAATGCATTAGGTAAGATTTATTAATTTATTTGTATTTAGTTTAGGTTGGAAGTGAATTGTCTTGAGGAAAAAAAAAATCTTAGTGTGCTCCAGATATCCTCTTCAAGGTTACTTTTTGGTTTGTGTTTAGTATTTTAGAAGGCTTGGATAATTTGGTTTGTAGTTTGGATGATTTTGTTTTTTTGTTTTTTTGTTACCAGGAATTGAACCCAGGGCACTTAAACACTGAGCTGCATCCCCAGAAATTTTTTTCATATTTTATTTAGAGACAGGATCTTTCTAAGTTGCTGAGGCTGACTTTGATCTCTCAATCCTACTGGCTTAGCCTCCTGAGTTGCTGGGATTACAGGCATGTGCCATTATGCCTGGCATTTGGACAGTTTTAAGTGGTTCCAGGAGACCACTTGAGGCAGGTGTATAATTCAGTAAAGGATCATCCCTGTGTTGTCAGCTGAAATGAGGAGAAGCTCTCTATATCCTGTCATGATAGAAGGTACATTGAGGGCTGGGTATTAATTATGCTTACTGTATTAGTCAGGGTTCTCTAGAGGAACAGAACCAACAGGAGATACGATTATAAAAAGGAAATTTATTAGATTGGCTTACATGACCAGAAGCAGAAAAGTCTACAATGTCCATCTGGAGGCTAGAGAGCTGGAGGAACCAGTAGCTAAGCAGTCCAAGAGGCTGAAGCCTCAGAACAAGAGGAATCAGTGATTCTGAGACCAAAGGCTTCTGGAAACTTCCTAGAGAATCATTGGGAGAGTCCACTTTGGAAGAGTGAAGGAGCAAGAGCCTGATGTCCTCAGGTGATCCCAGCACCAATCAAGAACCCCTTGTAAGAAGAATCAAGGTTTGCTCGATTCTTCTGCTGCTTCCTTGTTCTTCCTACTTTTATTCCATCCAAGCCACCATCCTATTGGATGGTACTGCCTACATTTAGGGAAGATCTCTACTTTAGTTCGCTATTCCACATGCCAGTCATTCCTAAGCAACACCCTCATAGACGCACTCAGGAGTCTCTTAATCTTTAGCATCTCTTAATCCAGTCAAGTTGACAATTCATGTTAACCATTACACTTATAAACTGTGGCTGAAGCCAAATACCCTACTAATAAGTCATTTGCAATGACCGCTGTAAGCCAATTTAGCATATGTAATATAAAAAATTTCCTAAGCTCTTAAATTATTGGAAAATATTCTGTGATAAAAAATTGAATGTGATGGTTAGTAATAGAGAAAATTAACAGTGTAGGCTCTTTAGCAAAATAAACATTTAAAATATTTAAATATTAGGGTATAATGAAGAATTGATCATTTGATAATTATTCTTGCCATTTAATTCATTCTTATTTAGTCCTTTGAATTGTATGGATTTGCTTGGTTTTAGGTCTGGAAAGTGAAGTGTATCATGGTACTCAGCAGAGCCAGCAGCTCATCTGTGTTAAAATTATCCTAGTGCTTGAGGAGCAGTAACGACATACTTTGAAATTTTACAAGCTCCAGTTGATAGCCTAACGTAGCTTATTAGGCTAGACTGTGCAATCTCAAGAAGGTGCTATTATCTCACCCCTAAGGGGTTAAGGTTGATTTTTTAGGAGAAAGATATGAAACAAAGAAAATCTTAGATACTACAGTGGACGGTGGACTGCCGAAGCTCACCTCTACTGATAAAATCTTGTTATTTTACATTTAATATCTCTTGTTGGATTTTCTTGCATATCTCTTGAGAAGCATTGAAATGGTGTTCATGGAAGATGCACAAGAAGTACGCAAAATTAGTGCTACAAAGCTGTGGCGAGTGGATGGCTCTGATTGGAGAACTTTTGATGGATTGCTTGATCCCAAAGTCACATGGCAAGAGATAGTTTGAGCATCTTCATTGCCATTGGCTGCCTCATAGATGCTTTTTTTTGTTCTTCTTTTGTATGTGGCTTGGTCTTTGGAAGTTAAATAAAAGTAATATGTATTTTATTATTTAATTATATCAAGTTCTGAAAGGAGAAATGCTGACATTATCTGGGTTTACATGTAGTAGTTGGTTAAATTATTTTTTAGTATCTAGCAAAAGATAAGAAAAAAAACTAAAATGTTTTTCTATAAGAAATTAAGTGTTTAAATTTTTATGGTAAAATCACAGTTTTGAATGATTTATAAAAACTTATTTGAATTGCTAATTTATATAATTTGAGATGTTATAACTCATATAAGTAAATAAATTACATTAAAACTTATTTAGCATGTATAGTAATAAAATTAATAAAAAGAATAGCTTTTTAATCCCTCTGAATTTTCTTTTTTTTCTTAATAGCTTTTTATTGTTTGGCTTATCTTTAAACTTTAATATTTTGCCATTCTTAAGACCTGTAACTTTAAAGTCTTTGTAGGTATAAAGTACAGATAAACATATAGTACCCAAACAGATTTACAGCATATCTGTGTAATTAATATTTTGTTGGAATGACAATGAGAAATTAATATTTTGTTGGAATGGTAATGAGCGCTAGCAATGAGAAGACAGTTGTGAAACACCAGGGGTTACTCTAAACCAAACTCCTCGGAAAGTGCTATTTCCAGATAATTTCATGGATGATGAAAAACACCTAGATATAAGTCCTTAGTTTATTTTATAGTGAAATTTGAGAAAGGATGACTGATACTGCTAATGCACAGCACAGAGTCCTAAGGTAGCCATTGTTGTCCAGTTTCTATGTACCCAGGTGCAGAGATGGGAAAACGTGTCCTTACCTAGAAGGTCGATTGCTGTATTGTTAGCCACAGGCAAAGCTGCACAATCGCCTTTTGTGTTACAGCTTTCTTCGTGGGGTAATAATACTCTTCATGATTCTTCAGAGAAATTCTTCTTCTCTGTGTTGACTTTGGCACTTTATGTTTTCCTTTTCACCCCTGCACAAAGCTACTAGAGAGGATGAAGAAAATAGGAGAAAACTTGACTTTTACAGAAGTACCATAATGACTTGTTTGTATAATGTGCCCAAAATGTAGTTCTGAAATTATGACATGTTCCATTTGTCATACTTCCTGTCTTGTTTAGTGTACTTTAATGAGAAGAGGGCTTGTTGAGTGTGTCTTTGGATGTAGGAAGGCAAAGGGAGATGTCTTGAGGAGGCAGTAGAGAGGGGAAGGGACTGGGCAATGCTGAATGTGAACTACATTGGTTTTCACTTGGCAAGTACATACCTCTTATTTTAAGTGTAGTAAAGTGTGGAGAGTTTGTATTTTGAAAGGTTCTTATTCTTCTTTGTGTTAGTAACTTGAACTGTTTTGATTAATTTTGTAGATGTAGAGTTAATATCGGCTTTTTATCACACCTGGACACACTTATTTGACCTTCTGGCTGCACTCCTGAGGAAAGCTGGTGCTGTCTCACACTCGTCTGTCACCTCGGCTCTGGCCAGGCACTGGGCAGCAATGATGGGTAAGAAAGTCTCTCGCAGGCATGGTGGGGTCTTTCTGCTAACAAACTGAAGATAATCCTTACTCCCAATAGATATGTAAGTTCTCTAAAATTAAGTGACTTTGGCATGGCCCATGAAAGAGAAACCAGGGCACTTGGTTTGAGGAATTTGCAATGTTCTTGAGGAGCCCTCCAAAAATGTGCTTTTGAAAAACTGAAACACTTTTCAAAATGGCTAAAAATAAGCAAGAAGAGCCTATGATTTCATGAAGATACTTATGATAAGATTAAAATAAAACAATAAGATTTTCTTTTGAATAGAAATCGGTCTCTTCTGACATAAGTACAATATATATATATATATATATATATATATATGGGTAAATCTCACACATACCATCCTGTACATGTGATAACTTGGGAAGTTACAATAAAAATATTGTCTTTTTCCAAAACACCAGGATTATTTTTATGGCAAAAAATGCCAAGAGTACAGTATAATTATTTTTATAAGATGTTTTCCATATAAAAGTTGCCGACTAATATAAACAAATACTTATTTTTAAATAACTAATCTTATTATTTCTTAAGACTCCTAAATTTTAGTATAATGTGTGAATGATTATAATTAACATTTATGTTAACCTTTTTAATACCTTATTTAAAGGTATTAAAAATGGATTTCTAAGTTTCAAAGTTAGTCACTAATTTATTTGAGTGATTTTTAAACATTTATTATTTGTTCATTCTATAAACTTTATTATAATGACAGAGAATGGTAGTTTTGAAGTAAGAATTATGAGGAAATATATGTTTGGTAAGAAACAGAATTATTAGTTTTCTAGATATAGGAGTTCTGAGTCTACCATAATGTACCCTTTATGGTACATCCCATGCTCTCGATGTTGTAAATTGTTTTATTGAGATGAAAATTGAAAGATATTGCTTCACTTGGAGATTGAGATTCTCCTCTTGCATCTGTTAGGGGGAATTAATTTACCCACCTGAATCACCAACACTGTGAAGCAAAGTGCTGCTCACATCAGGTACGGAAGCCCGTTAGCCAAATCTACCCTGCTACCTATTTTGGTAAAATAAAGTCTTATTGGAATACAGCCACATTTGTTCACTTATGTATTGCACAGACCACTTTTCATGCTTCAGTAGTTGAAATGAAAAGTTGAGACAAAAATAGTGAGTTGCAAAGCATAAAAGATTTACTGTCTAGCCCTTTTCAGAAAAAAATTGCTAACCCTTAACTTAAGCCTATTTATTTGACACTATTTTTGGAGTGATAAAATCAAAACATTAAATTCAAAAGATTTCTATTTTGTGTAAACTTAAGTGTGTGACACAGACTGGTAGAAATTCTGATGGATATAATGAATCATAAAATTATAAGTTCATACTTTTCAAATTAACAAAGTTACTGTAAAACAACAGTGTTATTTTGATTACACTAAATCAGTACTCAAAAGAATCTGACTACTAATTTGAATGTTGATTCTTTCCAAATCAGTTCATAACCACTCATGTTCTTTGTGACATACTATAAGACCTTTGCACGTCATATTTTTTTCACTTTTTAAATTTGTTCTTTTTAGATATACATGACACTAAAGGGTATTATAACATATTATACATACATGGAGTATAACTTACTTTAATTAGTTCCCATTCTTGTGGTTGTACATGATATGAAGATACACTGGTCGTGAATTCATATACGAACATAGGAGAGTTATGTCCAATTCATTCTACTCTCTTTCTTACTCCCATACCCACCTCTTTCCTTCATTCCCTTTTCTCTAATCCAGTGAACTTCTTTTCTGCCCTCCCCCTCTTATTGTGTGTTAGCATCCACATATCAGAGAGAACATTTGGCCTTTCATCTTTTTAGATTGGCTTATTTCTCTTAGCATGATAGTCTCCAGTTCCATCCATTTATTTGCAAATGCCGTAATTTCATCCTTCTTTATGACTGCATAAAATCCCATTGTGTATACACACCACATTTTCTTTATCCAGTCATCTGTTTAGGGCACCTAGTTTGGTTCCATAGCTTAGCTATTGTGAATTGAGCTGCTATAAGCATTGATGTGGCTGCATCCCTGTAGTAGGCTGATTTTAAGTCTTTTGGGTATATGCCCAGGAGTGGGATAACTGGATCAAATGGTAGTTCCACTACAAGTTTTTTGAGAACTCTCCTTACTGCTTTCCAGAGTGGTTGCGCCAATTTGTAGTCCCAATAACAATGTATGAGAGTACCTTTTTCCCCCACATCCTTGCCAGCATTTATTGTTACTTGTATTCTTGTTAACTGACATTCAGACTACAGTGAGGTAGATTCTCAATGTATTTTAATTTGCATTTCTCTAATTGCTAGAGGTGGTGAATATTTTTTTTCACTTATTTGTTGACCATATCTTCTGTGAAGTGTCTGTTCAGTTTCCTTGCGCATCTATTGATTGGGTTATTTCCTTTTTTGGTGTTAAGCTTTTTGATTTCTTTATATATTCTGGAGATTAATGCTCTGAGATGCAGGTGACAAAGATTTTCTCCCATTCTATAGGCTTTCTTTTCACATTCTTGATTGTTTTCTTTGCTGTAAAGAAGCTTTTTTAGTTTGATATCATCCCATTTATTGATTCTTGATTGTACTTATTGTGCTGTAGAAGTCTTTTTGAAGAATTCAGTTTTTAAGCCTACCTGATGGGGAGTTGGGTCTTCATTTTCTTCTAGTAGGTGCAGAGTCTCTAGTGCCTAGGTCCTTGATGCACTTTGAGTTGAGTTTTGTGCAAGGTGAGAGAGAGGGCTTAAATTTCATTCTGCTACATAGAGATTTATAGTTTTCCCAGCACCATTTGTTGAAGAGGCTATCTTTTCTCCAATATATGTTTATAGCACCTTTGTCTAATGTGAGATAACTGTATTCAGGGGGTTTGTCTCTGTCTTCTATTCTGTTCCATTGGTCTTCATATTTTTTTTGGTGCCAATACCATGCTATTTTGTTACTATGAGTCTGTAGTATTATTTAACATCTGCTGTTGTGATTGTACATCATATTGACACTGCATACTATCTTCTTTGTGTCTTTTGGCAACAAATTGATTGAAAGCAGAAAAATACATTCTTACTTATAAGGTGGTATTCTAAATTATTCACAGTATAATTAGGCTAATTCTTTTTTAACTTAGTAGTGAAATCAAAATTAAAATTTAAAATTTCTCAAGACTTTGCATATATATAGTGTTCAAAGGCTCAATACTCATGTACATACAGTCCTCTTATTTTGGAGTCTTAGCAAATATGGTCTATATGTGCATTTGTAGATACACACCCACCCCACACACACGTGCACTTTTCATGTAAATAAAAAACCCAAACAGTGAAAAATAGAATAGATTCCTTGATTCTATATATTGTCTTCATACTAACTATTGAAACATTATAGTTCTTGGTATACTTGAGCTATCGATAACCTTAAATCGTTAAAAATAAGAAAGCTATAAACTAAATTGTTCAGATCAATTTGGTTTATTTCCTTTTCAATTCTGAACATTTACATCTAAAATCATTTTCCCTCTTAGATGTGTTCTGCGAGTGTGTAGGCTTGTCCAGCAGATGCCCTGCCCTGTACACGGCCAGTTTGCACTTCCTGTCTGTTCTCTTGACTGAGGAGGCAAGAAGGCACTGCCAGGACAAAGACAAAGCAAGTTCATTGTCTCATCCAACCATCACATCTCTTCTTGATGAAACTCAGGACAACCAGAAGTCTCCAGATAGACTTAATGAAGTAATTCTTCAGGTGTGTGATTTCTTGATTTTTCTTAAAGTGTATTTAGTGCTTAAATGAATTGACTCTCTCTCTGGGTCTTGTTAAAAAATTTTTTCAATTATTTGAATTAAAAGTATTAATGCTTATTATGACTGTTTAGTACAAAAGTATAAATTGATTAACAATTAAAAAAAGAACTAGAGGTTTTTCCTAATTTAAAATTGCTCATTGTTTTTCAAAGTAGGACTGTTACTAGAGTTTTTAATATTAAGAATCTTCCTTTTAAATAGTTATATGATTTTATGATTTTTTTCCTTCTCATTGAAAGGTGGAAAGGTAGTAGAATTGTGTATTGAAGGATTTGCCTCAGTTTCCCCATCATCTAGCCACAAAGCTTGCTCTGTCTGCCAGTTTGTTGCAGTTTCTTTGCTGCTTAGAATTTGGAAATTTTCCATCCTTATCAGCCTCTGAGAGTTGTGGCCATGAAGATATTTATGGCATGGCTACTTGTACATTTTGAGCACCAGCCCTGATTATGTTAAATTCAGTTGAAGTGCTAGAAAGGGGGAAGACTCCCTGGTTCAGCTAGGATTATCCTATTGAGGCTATCACACAGGGCTTCTCAGGGGGCGTAGTTTCCCCTGCCTCATAGAATCCTCTTTGCTTTCCAGCATAGACCAGAAGCCTGAAAAGGAGTCTTCCCCGCATTTTCTCATCTGCCTCCAGCAGTTCCTCTACAAGCCTGATCTCTGGGGGAAGGGTCCTCACAGCATTCTTTTAAAAAAGCTCCTGGGAGACAACAGCTTCCCTGTGGCCACCACCTCCCTGTTATCCCTCTCAGCTTTTCTTGGTTGAGAACAAAAACTGGATGTGGTCCCAGTTATCCCAGTTATCTCATTCCCTGTCAGAACAGACTTGATTAACTGAGTTGGAGTCTGCATTTTTAAAAAATATTATAAGAAAACTCAGATTCATACCTTCTCAAGTTTCTCACCCCAACCCTCAATCCAGTCTAGTTATTAATTTTCTAATTTGGTTCTGGAACACCACTTTTTTCTTGCAGAAAGGCCCTTGCTCTTGTCAACATGCTTTCTTCCTCAGGGAATTCAAATGACTTCCCTCAGAGAAGAGTGCTGTGAGAACAGTGTGCTTGGCCTCTCCCTTCACTGCCTACGCCAACATACCAAATAGCTCCGGAAGCTGTTCCTCATGACTGTCTGGCTCCTGCAACCAATCCTGCTGGGCGTGGTGAAATTTCAAGACTTTAAGCCAGGGATAATTTATTTCTTAACTGTTTTCTATTGTTGGTAGCACCATGTTTCAAGGAGACTCATGTTATATATGGCTCCATATAGGGTGATGGGCCAGCTTGTAACAATAGGGTACCTAAGAAACACTTGGTGCCAGAGGCATTTGCGAAATTTGCTTTGCCCTTATTCTTCCCTCCTGTTCTGTAATATTATTTATCATAAAAAATTATTGTTTATAATCTTATGTTGTTATCTTTCTTGGCCGAAGAAAATGAGATACTCTGTAGCTATAGGATATCTTGATTTTCCTATGGTTAGCTCATTTTCCTTTCAGTTTCTTCTAAGTCACAGAAGATACACAGCATTCTGTGCCAATATAGATACAATAGCAATTTGTTTAAAACATATTTCCTGGTAAATCATACCCTTCTTTTTTTGTGTAAATACGGGACAATCTGCTATCGGGTCTGCTTTGCCCTGCAAGAGTTCTGTTTTTTCCTTCATACTTAAATAAATCCTACTTCTTTCACTCTTTAAAAAAAAAAAAAGTAAATATGGACCCATAACATCAGTTAGATGGAAAGGCACAAATAAATTAAGACAGAGAGTGAAGAGAGGAATTGTACCTATGATACACTTTTGAGAAAATGTGTGCTTAATATAAGGCAGGCAGTTATTAATGGTCCTATTAAGCTATAACCACTGTGTTTTCTTTGCCCTATAGAACAATGATAGGTGAATTAAAATATTATCAGAATATATTAAACATTAGCATATTATCATAAGTAAAGCATGTATCATACTATGCTTATGTAGGTTATGAGTTGTGCCAGGTATTAGATGTAGCAAAGCAAACTGCACTCTTTAAATTATCTGAAGAAATAGTATTCTAAAATTGATATTCTTCAAAGATAGATTTAAATTTTATATAACGACATGCTCAAAAAAATATATTACAGTGAACCGTAGGCAACATCTTGTGATTTGGTTCTTCAAATGCAAAATGAGAGGATTGTACTACAAAACTGGTTAAATTTCAGCTGCCTCTAAAATTCTGCATCCTCCTAATAAATTAGTTTTGAGGTTTAATTAAAATATCTTAGCAGAATAGCTTTTAAAAGACTGCTTCACAGCAAAGTACCATAATGGATTTATATTGAAATTATGCACACTTAGATCATAATTTTGTATTTATTTTTTCATAAATCCATTTTGAGGTGGTTTCAGAATTTGAATATTTTCAATGATGTTATTAGCTGTCTTTGACCCATTAAATATTAAACACATTTGAAATAATGGAGTTTGACCTTCTCTATAGAGATTCTCAATAGGTTTCATTTGGAAATACCTGTAGATAATAAGATTAATTACAGTCTCACAGGTTTTGCCTATGATGGATATATTGAATTAATTTTGCTTATTTTATTAATCTGATATCTAAGGATAGTAAAGCCAGGAAACAATGAATTCTCATGTCACATTTTAGGAAATATTTATTGTATTTGTGTTTAGTGAATGGTGAATTTCAAGAGTAAATCTGCTGAAGAGTTGGCTTATATAGTTGGGATACTTCTGTGTTAATGTTCACTACAATTAAAAAGTCTGTTCGTGGGCCAGTCATATAGCTTAGAGTTGGTAGAGTGCTTGCCTTATGTGCACAAGGCCCTGGGTTCAATTCCCAGTACCACCAAAAAAAAAAAAAAAGTCTGTTCTTTATGTTAAGTATCTTTCAGAAAGAAAGAAAGACAAAAGAAAAGAAATAAAGATAACACTTGATCTATAATATTATAGATCACTTAATGCACAGAAGGGATTAATATAAAAACATAAACTTAAAAAAAAGTCATTGAGTCTTTTTATTTTCATTCTTCCAGTGATTGATAAAAAGGTGAATTATTTCTTATTCTGAATTTCCTTGGTTTAGCTTTCTTCTTTTTGGGCATCCCAATAGTGCAGTAGCCAACCCCTATCACTGGGGCTTATCCTCAGCTTTCCTGCCTGTGGTTTCTCACATCCAGCTGTGTCATATGCACATGCTCAGACTGCTTTTCAGCATGAAAAACAATATTATTTAAATAATTTCCTTTTATCTTTTTTTTAGCGTATGTTGAAAAGTAGATGGATTTACTGTGGATCAGTCCTGTGTGGTGGTTTTGGTTTTTTGCTTTCATGTTGGTTTTTACCAAGTACGCATTTTAGAGCACCAAATAGTTCCACAGGTTTTAACCTAGAGTAAATGACTTCTACCTTCCTGCCTATTTTTCCTTTTCTGAGAGTTCACCACTTATTCCTCATTTAGCTAATCATTTTGTAGTTTCCCTTCAGGGTCTCCAGTATGCATTTGTTCCTCTGTTTGGATCACTCAGGTTTAGAGTGATCCTGTCTATTGAATTCCTATCATGGGGGAGAATCTTAAGCTGTCTTTTCACACCCTCCTCATCTACCTGGCCAAAGTGGACTCCCCTCTCAGTCCCCTGGTAATGACATCTGAACCTCCGTTAGAGAATAGATGCAAGTACAGTATCACATCTGTGCAAACCTCGTACACAGTTGAACCAAGCTGAAAACAGTATTTCTTTTATTGCTTTTGTTCTCCTTAAAGATAACTGGTGTGTGTGTGTGTGTGTGTGTGTGTGTGTGTGTGTGTGTGTGTGTATGTATGTATTTCAACTTGTTGGCTTTTCTGTTTCTAATAAGCTTCTTTGCCAGCAATCAAATGTCCTTTTGTCATGTTTGGAATTCATCTCTGGAAGAAATCTCTGCCATATCCTTTGGACCTGCTTGGTGCCCAGGGTCTTCCTGGGATCTCTATTCACCTTGTTCCTGGGAGTTTTTTATTTCTTTGCTTGAGCAGTCTTCTGCATCCTGTTTAGTGCATCCAGTGTACTGTTCCCTCTGTCCTCTCCTGATCGGTTCATTCCTTTTCATATAAATTCTGTTCCCTTGTATCTTCTAGAGAAAGCATGCAGAGGTCTTTCTTAAGTTGTAGCTGTCTGAAAGTCTTTGTTTTACCCTTATATCTGTTGTGTAGTTTGACTAGTAAGAGTTATGAGTTAGAAATAATTTACTTCAGAATTTAGAAGGAATGATATTCCCTTTAACTCTCAGTGTTGCTGTATACAATTCTGAAGCCATTATGATTCTTGTTTCACTTCCTAGAAGTTAGAATCTTTCTGTTTTCTCTAGTATTCTTCAATTTTCTGATAAAGTGCTTAGGTGTGGATCTGCTCTATCCAATGTGCTAGGTTCTTTTCATCTATAAATTCATATTTTAAAAAATTTCTTCATTGACATTTCTTCTACTTTGTTTGGAACTCCTATTAAGTGTTCTTCTTCCTACATAATCTCTCTTTTCTGGCCTTTTCTTTGTTTATTTTGCTCTGTATTTTCTGGTGCGGAGCTTTCGCAGATGTTGGTTATCTTGGTTATCTGCTCCATTGAAGACTGGGAGATTATATAGTGTAGATAGCCCTGAGACTCTGAGTGGAGCTCGTCAGTCAAGGTTTCACTGTCCAAGGGGACTCGCAGGGGTCATGCTATGGTTGTCTTCTGGACCTCATCACATTCCCTAGAGCAGTGTTTTGATCTCTTGCCTGGAGGTGAAAACCCAATTAACTGCTAAGTGTTTTGTAGGAAAGTGGGTGAAAAGAGCAGGGGACTCAGAATTTAATTTGTACAGTTTCACTAGGTCCTTCCTGTTTCAGTGGAATACCCTAACCCACTAATGTACCTACTCTGCCAGGGCAGAATGCTTCTAATTTATCCTCCGCAGAAAATCCTGAACCTGCAGGATTTTGCAATAGCGAAGGAAGAGGAGTGGCTTGGCCGTACAGAAATTGGTTGGCAGTGGGCAGGGCCTGAGAATGGAACTCCTGCATAGAGACTTTTCCAACAATCCTCCTCCACCTCCTTCACTTCCCCTGGAGACTGGTGCTAAATTTCCTCTGCTGTCAGTAATTCAGTGTTGGACTGGGTAGTACTCAGCTTGCCCATTCACCACTTAAAATTCAGGATTTTTGAATCTCACCCCACTTCTATTCATCCTGCTGCTTTCTAATTTCTGGACTTTTGAGGCCCACACGAGAGTCCATGTGTGTAATTCCCATATTGTCATTTTTAATGAGGGTTTTTTTTGGAGGGGGAAGACCCATCTGTCACACAACTATTCCACTCAAAAGTTTTTTGTTTTTTTTTTTCTTTTTCTAACTACTTGATATGGTGATGTTTAGTAATTTTTTGGGATCAGTTTGGCTTTTCTGAAATTACTAATAAATGCAATTAAGATGAGTATTTTAGGGCAATTTTTCTATTAAAGGTGAAATTTACCTTTATAGACAAATTAGTATTCTCACAGGTAACCTAATGATCCTACTCCACATATATTCATCATCCTATAATACTTCTCTACCTGTTTTTTTGTTTTGTTTTCCTTTGTTTTTAAGGTTACTTTCTTTCACTTGGAATGGTCCTTACCAAGCATGCCTGGGTGTGGGTATTTAAAATTTAAATGATTAGTTGCAGAGAGACCTGTCTGGTTGGAAGCAGCTGCCTAAGGGAGTTCTTAAGATGGATTTGTTAGCCCTGGTAGTAAAGCTGGGGGCAGGGGAGCTGGGGGCAGGGTGGTGGGCACTGCACAGGCTTCTCCATGTTAGGTCTCCAAGCACAGGCTCATCAGGAATTGTAAGTGTACTGTACTGTATTTCATGTGAAATCATATAATTTTAAGCTTGATTTTAGTGATATTATAACGTTGAATCATTTCAGAAATTATTGATATAAGAATTATGAATTTGAATTATATGTAATATTTATAAAGCAAATGAGGAACTTCTAGAGTTTTACACTGGATTTATGAACCCCTTTAAAACCTGATCATACATATCCAGGTGAGATCTTACCTCTAAAAGTTGAACCTAAATCTAGTCAAGCCTCAAAAGCTAAAACATCCAGCAGATGGAAAATACAGAGGAGAAAAAGCAAGTTAAACATCATTGCAGGGAAACCAACAGACAGGTCTGCAGTATAGGGCATGTGCAGGACGACTGATCAGGTCTAGGCAGGGGTGCAGTGATCCGAGGGGACAGCAGCAACTGCAGGGCACCTGTGGCACTCTTGGGAATGGGTGGCCAGGCTCTCCAGGTAGGAAATGACTGCAGATATGATGTCAGGGCTCAAAAAGACACTTTTAGAGACAAAAGAGAAAAGGTAAATTTGATCTGGGTATTAGTTGATGCCAAGAAATTGTTGTTAATTGTGTTACGCATTAGAATCGGTTTTGTATATTAGATGATATGCTATACTAATACTTACTTAACAATCCTTAGCCAAAAAAAAAAAAATTTTTAAAGAGGATGGGGCCTTGTTATTATGTTTTTCTACTTATGTATATGTTAGAAATTTTTTGTTACGAAATTTTTTCTAATTCAGATGTATAAAGGACATATATACCAAAATGTTAGTATTAGCATTTTCAAAATAATAAATGATTTTCCATTTCTGTAGAAGCTTAAAAAATTGAAAATTAAAAAAAAACAAACACATTGGGCTGGGGTTGTGGCTCAGTGGCAGAGCACTTGCCTAGCATGGGCAAGGCACTGTGTTCAATACTCAGCACCCCATATAAATAAATAAAATAAAGGTCCATCGACAACTGAAAACAAAATTTTTAAAAAACCCACATTATGTAATTTTTTAAAAACAAGTACATATTACTATAAAAATGGAAGATCAGAGGAACCAAATCACACAGGATACAAATATATGTCCAATAGAAATGAAAGGAGGGGATGTATCTCCAAAAGAAGAAAGATTGGAGTTGGATGGCAGTTCTACTGATGAATACTTTTCCAAGGACTTGTTTCCATATGTATGTGGTGCATGTGTGAGTACACGCTCACATGTGTACACCCTGGTGTGTTTTAAGTAAGTACCATGCTATGTGTTAATAATAAATAAAATTTTTTTCCATAGACGATGAATCTTTGAGAGTGAGTGTTGGTCTTTTCCTATTACACATTACTTATGCAGCCTTCTCAAGCATTCTCAAATATTACTGATTCATCAGATTTCAGTGGTTTACACGGTAGTTGAATCCTGGCAATGCCTTTTATTCACAACAGTTTTACTCCAAATTAAATTTTTCTTCAAACCATTTTGATCTCTATTCTCTGCAGTGCTATGAAGGAAAGTCCTCCAGAGATACCCTGAAAAGAGTGGCTGCAAATGCGTTGCTGTCACTCCTGGCTGTCAGCAGAAGAGCCCAGAAACATGCTCTGAAAGGTGATCTACATGGCAGATCATGTGGCATGTTGCCAACTTGTGTGGTTTGCTGCTTGTTCAGTTTAATTTTCTTTGAATTTAAACTATGAAGTACTTTATAGTATAATATATCAGTGTCATTAAAAAACAAAACAAAACCAGATTTTTTTCCACAAACAAACCCAGTAAACATTCACTTCTTTTAGGTTTCTTCCATACAGATATCTAGGAAACATTATTACTTTAAAACAAAAAGATTTTTCATGCAGTTATTTTTATTTAATATGTAATTATTCTTACTCTAGAGCATTTATCTAAATAATAGAGAAGCTAATAAAAGTAACACTCAGTTTCATAGTAATTAAATATTAGTTTGTACATAAAAACCTTCTGTGTACCTAAATAAAACCCAAAACAAACAAATTAAAAAACCCCATGGTTTTGATGATAAAGAGCATCAGAGGATCCAGTATTTTTCGTATAAATTTCCCCTCTAAAGTTGAAAATTCTCACTTGAAAATCAGGGAAAAGAGGGCTGAAAGTTGAAAGAGAATAACAGCAACACAAAGTTCATTAATGTCAATTGCAGTTTACTACTAAAACAAATTATTTAAGTCTCAAGCATAAATTATGTTTGAGGACTATCTTACTAAGGACTAAAACTAAGTGGATTCCAGGTTTAGTTTTTTTACCACCACCCCCCCCCCCCACTATTTTCCCATATTTATTTATCTCTTGCTGAAAACACTAGAATAAGTGGGTCAGAAATATAATTGTTTTGGAGATTCTGATTATATGTGGTTTTAACTTATTTAGAAATGAAATATTTTGACTTACAAATTTTATCTTTCAGCTGATCTCATAGACAACTGCATGGAGCAGATGAAGCACATTAATGCACAACTGAACCTCGATTCTCTGCGGCCTGGGAAAGCAGTACTGAAAAAAAAGGTGACTTTGCATCCTGACTCCTGGGATAAAGGAATGAATGCACACGGTGACCATCTCTGCAGTGTCCTTATGCCTATAAATGAGTGCAAGGTTGAAACGCATGTCTGATTTAGAAGAAAAATGCAGTCTGGTAAATTAATGGCATTTCTACATTAGGAGATTGTGGGCATTTTTTTCTCCCTTAATTCGTACTTGAAGGTCTTTAGGAAAAACTTTGTGCTCGCTCGCTCTCTCTGGATATATATATATATATATATATATATATATATATTTATACACACATACACACTTATTGTATATATAAAATGTATATAATACATTACACATATAAAATATGTATTGTGTGATATCTACATCTGCATGATACTATGATACTATACTAGATAGGTTTTTTAATACTAAATGTGTTTAAAAGCAAGCCTAAGTTCTCAAAGCGAGATCTATAATAGATGTAATTTAATAAGTGTTTACAATATGTGAGGCACTATCAGATATTTCATATTTGTTATCTCATAGACAAACACTCATGAGCACAGACTCTGATGCTGGCAGTTGATGAGACCAGAATTTGTCTCCACATCTGAGAGGTTGCAAAGCTGGTATTCTTAATCTCTGTTTAACTCCTTCTGTGACTTCTGAATGTCTCATCTGGCATTGAGTCTGCTTAATTCATGGTTAATTTACATTTTCATGTGAACATAGAATAACATAATTATTATATAAGAACTATGGTTAATAATAATCATGATCAGTAAGATCTGTTCCACAGACTTACTCACAAAATGAATGTATATATGTATGAATATATAAATGTACAAATATACCTGTGTGTGTGTGTGTGTGTGTGTGTGTGTGTAAGACCATAGTAGCAGCCTTCTATGAAATAACTAGTAAGAAAATAAGGCAAAGCTTTACTTAATAATTTGGTGGATGCAGGGGATTGATTCATGTTTGTCAATTTCTGTTCTTATGTCTTTTCCTCTTTCCTCACTAGCAAAAAGCCCTTACTCCATCACTGAGAGAGTCAGCCCACACCTGATATGATTGAAAATCAGTCAGAACCTGCCTCACTTTATTGAGATGAAACATAGAGGCTATTATATATCCAAGTTCCTTCATGCTTGATAGAACAGAAATAGCTTTTCTGTGGTGGGTGCATTTCTTGAGATGTGGTCATCTTTCAGAGATCGTTAGCTTGTCAGTCCCCTCAAAGTTATGTGGTCAGGCAAGACTAGAGCACAGCTTGTGACCCACAAGGGAGTGAGTTACTATATATGAAAAGTGGAGCATGCTCCTGTGTTCACAGTTTTTACCTTCTTGTTTAAACAGGAGGATGGTTTTATTAAAGAGTTGAGCATTGCCATGCAGCTCCTAAGAAACTGCCTTTATCAAAATGAAGAATGTAAAGTAAGTAGAGATCCTTTTCAAAATGTTGGTAGCAAAATTGGTATTAAACAGTTTAATTTTTATTGAGATAATAGAGGAGAAAAAATGGGAAACTTTTTGAATTTTATGTAAATACAGGGTTGATTGGCCCTTAAACTCAGAGTTAATTCTCAGAAATGGATGCACCTAATCTCATTGGTATTCTCAACACTGATTTCATTCCTTTTATGGAAAAAAACATTATGTAGAAAATTAACATCAATCATGTATTCCTTAACCTATGTTAAATAAGACAGGACTAACAATTTATATTTTGAAGTAGTCTGATGGGAATAAAGTATTACACTTACAGAGAGCTCTAAACATGGAGAAGAATATTGGGAATAACTGCAAAGCTTATGCTTTGAACACTGGGAATAACTTCTAGTCTATTTGATGCTGCATAAAATTGTGTAGGGTGTGTATGTTTATGAAAATGTGCTCATAAGTGCACATGGCAGTAAAAATTCCTGTTTAATTCATTATGTCTCACAGTCTTACATATAGGACACCTATAAAAACTTAAGTTTAGCCATTTTATAGGAGTCTTATGAAATTGTATAAGTTTTTATAGCTATCTATGTTTATGATGGGGCATAATAGGTAAAGAAGATGGCAGAACATAGTGCAAGTGGTTGTGTTTATAAGGCTGTCAGCGGTCATTGACTTTTGAAGTAAAAACTTCGTTATGTAGGATTTGTTCACACAACAATATTTAGAATGAATTGTATCATATTTAAATTGCTCAAAAATAGTAATTACACACATACACACACTCACACCATGGGGGGAGAGAGACAAGACAGAGACTGGGCAGAGTTGATGAGAATGTTTACTTAACAAGAAATTACCATTTATTGACCACCTAAGTTAGTTACCCCTTGTTGGACCATACCCCTTTCTTGCATGATTTATATGTTATAGAAGCTGTTTTCTGCATTTCTTCTCTGATTTGCATATCCTGGCCACCCTGGTGTTGAAGGCCAGGCTGTGCTCAGGGCAGCTTTGTGTAGAGCCCTGTAGCTCTATGGCAAGACTGTCTGCTGGATCCTTTTTTAATTTTGGTATTGTGAATTAAACATAGGGTTACTGAGTCACATCCCCAGCCCTTTTTTTATTTTTTATTTTGATGCAATGTCACTTAGTTGCTTAGGGCCTCACTAAGTTACTGAGGCTGGGCGCAGACTTGCACTCCTCCTTCGTCAGCCTCCCAAGTTACTGGGATTACAGGTGTGACCCACTATGCCCAGCTGTCTACAGGATCTGATTCCCCTCCTCATTATTGAGAATGAAGATGAATTCAACTTTTTTTTTCTGTGGTGCTGGAGATTGAACCCAGGGCCTTGTGCATGCAAGGCAAGCACTCTACCTACTGAGCTAATTCCCAATTCGATTTCAATTTTTGTCTTATGTTAGTGACAGTGTTTTGAATTTGAATTTAATTTTGTATTTTCATATATTTAGACTCATGGCTGTCCTTACTTTCTTTCCACAACAGGAAGCGGCTCTTGAAGCTCATCTTGTCCCTGTCTTGCACTCTCTCTGGCCTTGGCTTTTGATGGACGATTCACTGATGCAGAATGCCTTGCAGTTGCTTTGTGTCTATACTGCAAATTTTCCAAATGGTAACTAGAACCCAATGTTGCCTTTTAATAATAAACTATAGAGTACTTGCTTTCATACTGATTACTGTGGTTGTTAACATTACATCAATGTTAAGGTGGACAGGAAAAACATATATATTTTGAAGTATTTCTTCTACTTATAAAGGATATATTATTAGTCAAAGACAAGATTGCTTGTAGGTATTATAGTAGAGCAGACAGATATTTTAGGAATATGTTTGTCGACAGGGGAGAGTCATTGGACAGTTCAGGAAGAGTCAAGAGAATGTGCTGGTGGAAGGTAGAAAGGAGAGAAAGGTATCCAGGATGAGCCTCATTTGGGGAAACGGACCTGAGTGCATAGTAGTACCATTTATTAAAATGATAAAGCTCTGGATTTGACTTGGATTTAAAGTAGGAATCAAGAGTACTGTTTGGTCATGTTAAGTCTGAGGTATCTGTATTCAAGCAAGTAAAAAAACTAAGGTGAAGTTGAATTCATTGGAGATGTAAAATATTGTTGGGAGTTTTATTAGTTATGTATTGCTGCTGTTCAAATTACCCCCAAATTGAGCACCTGTGCCACATAGTCATGTCATCATCTCATGGCTTCTGTGAGTCAGGAATCTGGGAGTGGTTTAGGTGGGTAGTTCTGATTTTCTCACCATATTTCTCCTTTCTTCATTATTTATGAGAGGGAGCAAAGACAAGAGGTTTTGAGAAGGCTGCTTTGAGCCGGGAGGGCAAGCAGACATTGTAGAGAGTGAAGCAGGACAGCTGGCTGTGAAGCACCACTGACAGCTTATGGTCAGAAACGTGAGGTTTGTCTGGTCGGCAAGTGTGTGTGCTTTCATCTGGCAGCATGTAACTCCTCCTCAGGAGTTTCCAAATATGTGGGCTGTCCAGGAAGGGGCGGGACAGGTGGGAGCCCATCTTTTCACTTCTACATGCCCTGATAGCTTATTCCTTTGACTGGTCTGACACCTCTAGAGCACTGTGCCTCAGAAGCCCAGCCAGTAGGAACAAGTAGAAACAGGCCTCCAGGCTCTTGAACCTTGAATTGCCATTTATATATTTGAGTCTAGTACAGGACTGTCCTTGTCTTCCTTCTGCTGCCGCTGACTTTCTTCATCCCTTGTTCTGCTTGGAGAGTCTCCTCTCAGTGCATCTTCCAGCTCAGCATCCTCCTGGCCAGATCAGCTCCTCTCTGAGGGAAGCTTTGGTCTCTAGGTTGTTCTCCTTGACCTTACCTTTGCTCTTTAATTTAGGGTTTAGGGAAGTAAGGAGGAGTAAAGAGTCAGTTGCTAAATGTTAAACAAAAGAAATTTGTGCTTTAGTACAAATCTTCTGAAATTATAATTTGTCATTTTTATACTTAAAATTGAAATAAATATTAGAAGTGGTTAGGTTACACCTAAAAAAGAAACATTTTACTTTTCAGTCTGGTTTGTTTCCGAGCAAAACTCTATTGTGTAATGACAGTTTCATGTAACAGTTAGTGGTAACAGTGGTATTTTAATACAGCTCTAAGGTTATTAATACAGGAAAGTTTGCTGTATTTTTTGTGTTTACTCATCTTTTATGAGTTATTTTACAGAATATCTTGATTCTGGTGTGATTATGTACAAGCCTACCTCCTTGTAGCTGCTTTCACAAGTTGATTCCACCTTAGGGTTTTGTTACAGTACAGTCTTACCAATTAAGCATTAAACTGTATTTCCAATTCTTTTCTGATTATCTTTCTTCCTTGGTACATCTCACATGGTTACTTACTGAAAATCACTAAGCTCTAGAAAGCCAGTTACATGCCACTGCTGGCTCTCTCTGCCTATCAGCTGTGTGAGCTTGAACAATCACTGGCTTTTCTGCACAGTGTCTTTACTTGTCTACCATGGAGAACAGCATTGCACTACCCACTGTCCCAGACACCTGTGTTCTTCATTTGTCTCTTCTGTAAAATGAAGGCATTAGACCAAGTTACCTCATATGTCTAAAATTCTGTTCTTCCATTCAGGCTTTTATTCAGATATTTTCTCTAGGAACTATTTAAAAAAAACAACCCTATTATGCTGGTTTTATTCTTTTTTAAAAGGAAAAGAACTGGTTTTTTAAAATACTGTATTTGTTAGGTCTTCAGTGAATACTGTAAATCTGTTAGATTGAAAGTAGACATCTGCATTAGCCTTCAGTGCTGATTTGCAATTCACAGGTTAGTTGGCTAAGTCACTTTGATAGGCAGATATGCTTTACTAGATAGTGTTTTTAACACTAAACAGTGGAGACAAGAAGATAACATGATTGGCTGCTGTTTTGAAGGTTGCAGTTCTCTTTGCTGGTCAAGTTATGGACAATATCCCGTTCACGCTGCACACAGAGGAGCCTCCAGCAGCTCTCTGATGCTGTGTATCCTAAAATTGGCCTCTCAGATGCCTCTCGAGAACACCAACATTCAGCAGACGGTTTTTCTGTTTCTTTCAAACCTGGCCTTGTCTCATGACTGTAAAGGAGTAATTCAAAAGGTAAGTACTTAAATTGTCCTGCCTATCATAAAGGAGATACTCCATTAAATAATACTTCCAATCAAAAGTTTAGAGCTCAATTTCTAGGATAAATTTATTATAATTTTGAGAGGTTTTTTAAAAGGATTTTAAGAAGATTAAGAGGTTCACTATTGATAAAAAGTGACAGAAGCTAGGCTATGATCTTGCCTTTTCCTTTTAGTTTATCCTTATTAGTTTTGATATTTTTGTTTTACTACTCTCAGAAATGGTGATGTTAGAAAGACAGCTGTCTTACATTTATTGAATATCATAAAAGTAATATATATGGTCTTTAAACAGACCAAATTGAGCAGTAACAATCTCAGTTCAATTTACATTGACAAATGGTTTATGAAATCACAGCCCTCTTTTACCCAGTTAGACTTTAACTTCTTTATGACCTAATAGGAAATTTTATGAGTTCTCTGGGATTTCTGTTCCAGAACTTTACTCTTACCACTGATTTAACTTTGGATACTTTAAAAGGGAGGGAACTAGTTAAACAAATTCTCATATACATGTGCAGTCAAGATCTGTGTTTTAATGTATGTAAATAAAGTTCCTAGTTGGATAAATTCCTTAAAACTTGAATGTGATCAGATTATCTATTACTATTGTTTACATGAAATAGTAATTTGATTGCTACTGTTTGTTTTGCTTGAAGAACAAGATAAATTGCAAAGGTTGATAGTATCTGTTAAGAACTGAGTCTCCTTTTCCTCTACTGTTTCATCTCTTTGAAGCCCCAAATGATAATTTGAGGTAATCACCAAACAAATATAAAAAAAAATCTGTCTTACTAGGAAATGGAATTGTCATTCTTACAATGAAAATGTTTTCAGAGGTGTGCTGAAGTGACCTCCCACTGGCTCTTGGGAGTTTCAGAAAAGTTCAAGCTTGTCAATATCATGTGATCTTGAAATCAGCCATGGTGGGATTATTCACATTTTATAATTTGGCAAAAACATTCAGGGAATGGAACCAGTTTATTATTTACCAGCATATGGCTGTGTGGCTTCTTCATATGTATGTTCACATGCATGTCATTTATGTGTGTGTGTGTGTGTGTGTGTATGAGAGAGAGAGATTATAAGTTGTGTTGGTGTATGTGAATAAATTTCATATATGTATTCAAATATTTGTATATGTCACTTGTAACAGGAGAAGTCTTCTTGAACTAAATGTGTGTGATTACCATCCTGCAGAATGAGAAAGCATGTAGTGAGAACAGAGCTGGGAACACAGAACTAGGCTTAGTGAACATGCTAATAGAAAGCAGAGCAGACCTCCGGGGGAACCTCAGAGCCAAGTCGCACTGTTCTCACTGTGTGACTCACTGTGTGACTCCGAGTGACTCTCTTTATGCCTCATTTTTTTTAAAAAAATTATTTTTATAATAATTAGGTTAAACAAAATGATCTCTAAGGTATCTTCACCTTTCACTCTGTGATTCTGGTGGTATACTGAAGAACATTGTGATCAACTGTAATCACATTCAGAGCATAACAGTCACGTCACTTTCTTCTGTTCCAGTGAGGAAACTCCAATGACTTAATAGCAATAATGAGCCTGGACACCCAAGTTCCTCCTCTCTGTCACCCATCGGTGGGCATGAGGATGCTAGAGTTCCACCTTTCCGTTATTCATCAGTAGGGATTAGAAAATGCAGCCAGAGCTGTTATTCAATTCAGTTGTAAAATGTCTGCTCTTTCTGTCATGAGATTTCTGCACTTTCTAACTGGTGCATAAAATTGTTTAAAATTATCTTTAGATCTAACAAAGAGGAGGGATGTCCATAGGATATGTGCATTTTAAAGCACTGACATATATTTTATTGCTATGGTCATCCCTTAATCTCCGATATCATGATAGAATCTAGCTGAATAGGAAAGATAGGGTGTAAATCTAAGAGCATCATTCTGGGCTGAGAAATGAGAAATAGCATGAGTGATGGCAAATGTTATTTAAAATGGGCATGTCATTTTATAGTGTATTTGTTGCTTGGAAAATATTGCTAATATTTTTGCAGCCCATTTTATGTGTATAATCAGGATTCTTTTTGTAAAAGTCTTAAGATTAATTTTACAAATCAAAGCTAACGTCTTGACTTAGGAATAGGAGAACCCAAGAGACAAGCTGGAATAGATTAAACAGGGAGAGATGAGTTACTCTGTGCAGTTATAAAAGTTGAATGAGTGCATTTCACTTCTAAAATGTCCAACCACTTCTGGTTTCCATATTGCCATCGTGGATTTCAATTTGATATAGTACTTTTTATATTTTGTTTGCATATAGATGACTCTAGACAATAATATGTTATCTTTCAAATAGTTCAGAGCTTGGTAGGGTTTTGTGGAAGGGACTTTATTTGAAGGTTGATATAACTCTTACAGTTCAAGTAATAGATCTCTCTCATCTGTAAGTTTAATAGAATGACACATAGCCATGAGAAATTAATTTCTGTAATGATAAGCAAGTGGGATAAGGGAATAGAGAATGGAACTATAGACTGAAAAAAAAAAAAGAAAACACTTGTAGCTATAATGATATAAAATACCCCCCTATTACCAGAGTTGTTACAAAATACCCCACTATTACCAGAGTTGTTACAAAATACCCCACTATAACCAGAGTTTTTACAAAATACCCCACTATTACCAGAGTTCTTAACTAGTTTTCCAGACTGGGGTTTTGTTTCGTTTTCCTCTCCATAGGAAATTTTTTAATGAGTAGCAAAATTGCCAGAAGGCAGACAGAAAGAGAAAATTCAAGAGGCCTAAAGTAATCCCCAAACTGAATTATCAATCCTGAATAATTGAGTTGACTATAGCTTACTGAATTCCATCATCAGGAGAAAAAAAAATGAGCTGAAATTAAAATTTGAGCACTATTTTGTTCCTCTTACCCTTTTCACTTATACTTGGAAATGATATAGATGAAGTATTCAGACAGTATTGGGAGGAAAGAGAAATTTAGGTTAGAAAAGAGGATACCATAATGCTAGCTAATTGGTCACAAAGGGACTAGGTAAATAATGACAAAGACCCAAGAAGAAAATAATATTTTCTCTGTTTATCCACAGAGTAACTTCTTACAGAACTTTCTGTCTCTAACATTGCCAAAAGGAGGAAATAAACATCTCGGTAATCTGACCATTCTTTGGTTGAAGTTACTCTTGAATATATCTTTTGGAGAAGATGGGCAGCAAATGATCCTGAGGCTTGATGGCTGTTTAGACTTACTTACTGAGATAAGCAAATACAAGCATAAGAGCAGCCCTTACATACCACTTCTTATTTTTCATAATATTTGCTTCAGTCCTGCAAATAAGCCCAAGATTCTGGCTAATGGTAAGTATTCACACACACAAACGTGCTTTTATATATGTGGTTATTCATAGGCTGTTAAAACACAAAATAATTTTTTAATTTGCCAGGTATTTATGTTGCAGGGGCTGGGGGAATGAGTCAGGCAAGGCTTTGCCTTCTTTGAGCTGCCTGGAGTCTCTGGATGTTAATAAATCATGTTATCCCCATGGACAAACTGGATACAGGAGGACAAACTGTGTGTAGGGGTGCTTGCTGACCTTGGCTCTCCTTGTTTCTGCTGCAAGTCCCCCTCATCGCCTCTCTGTCTTTGAACAAATACAGCTGTGTTAGGGAAGACTTTGCAGACCCACCAGTTAAAGTTGGACCTTCCCTGCCCCCTGTTCCCTCCCCACCACTCTCTTCCCCTTTCCCTTTGTTTTATTTCTCCATTGCATCAACACTAGGATACAGTCTGCATTTCAATGTATATCTGTTTATTCCTGGACTCCCCCCGACCTCCAGAACCTGCATCTTGTAGAGTCTAGTCTTTTTTCCTTCCATGTGTTTTATGTAATCTTTTCTCAAAGGCTTTTTTCCATGACACACATTTTTCCAAGTGAATGGAAATAATTCTGCCTATGCTCTGCTGTGTGTACGGTAATGATTCTGTTTTCCTGATAATAATTATTAAATTTCAGGAAATGTATAGAAGCATTTTTAAAGTTCAGTCAGCTTTTAACTCCCCTCATTAACTACTCTTGATTCTCACTGCTTCTCCACTGACACTGTGCTCTTTGTCGATGGGAGTGTACATCAGAGGTTGTTTTCATTCTGTTCTGCCATACCTGCTTCAGTCCTCACGTTTGTAAAATGAGGACAACCAGCCCTACCTCTGAGCAACGAGATGGCCCAGGAAACATCTGTTGCCATTCTTGAGCCACTGGAGCTACTCAGCAGCATCTCTTATTCTTTTGGGGGATTTTATTATTTTTTTTATTTTACATATACATAAGAGTAGAGTGTATTTTGACATATTACACATACATGGAGTATAATTTACTCTTAATTAGGATCCCATTCTTTTGGATCTTATTCTTTATTCACCTTTCTCAGAAGGAATTTTGTCTTTGGTAACTATTTATTACATTTTATTATTAAGAGAGTAGGGAAAAGGAAAGGCTTTAGGGAGCTGAAGGAGAAGTCTGCATTTCTACTTCTCCATGTCTCTGGATTTATTTTCAGTATTTTCTTGTAGTCAGCAGTGCTTTCCATCCTTCATTAGCTTAAAGTAGATGAATACACTTTTAGTTAAAAGGAGCCTCCCCATATCCCAAAGACTTGATCTCAGTGGGCTTTCAAGGCAGCGTTAACATGGGAGACAATAGCTGTGCAGGTTCTGTGTGGAACTGTTTAAGGCGTATCACAGGCTGTGCCCCCTTTTTCCTCATGGGGATCCAGAGTGGAGGTCTTAGCAGAATCATCTAGCTTAAAAATCTACCAGGAAGGCAGACATGCCTCTGATCAGTAGAACTCAGACATCTGGTGTAGATGGTTAGGAGTGAAATGTGCATTGGGGCTTGGGCTTGCTGTTAAAAATAGATTCATGGCATTTTTTGTTTCTGGTAATGTCAGGCTAAACGTCCTTTGAAAATAACAAAAATATGCTAGATAAGCTTTATTAAAATTCACCACAAAAAAAAAAAAATAGCTGAAGAGATAGTGGGAAACTTCAGGCCAATTTTGATCAAAATCTAATACCCAGAGAAGTAAGAAGTGTATAGAAATTCTTTTGCCCAAGGACAATTGCTAAGAAATGATAGAACAGATGTCAAGACCCTCCAAGGTGGCACTCTCCTGAATGAAGCTAGAACTCAGGAGAACCATTCTATTAGGAGAAGAGCAAATTAGAATTGATTTTCTCCTCTAATTCTCATCCAGATGACAGTAAAGAAAGGTGAAAAAATAAATAAAATGAAAGTCAGCCTGAGCAACACAAATTCCCTTCCACAGATCTGCACCCAGGAATGCTTGGTGTGAGAGGGCTGAGAACTTGTTTTAAGGTGGTCCCTGAGTGCTTAGGAAACGCAGAACAAGTTTATACTAGACCTCAAGAAACTTCTACAAATAATTTTTCAAAGCATGAACCAGTACAAAGTTAAGCAGGTACATTAGGAAACTTGGCAACAGGAGCTAGAACCAACAAAGGAAAACATGCCAACTTCTCTGCCTGACTTCAAATACTAGGAGTATAAAATATAGTTTTAAAAAATAACTTTAATAATACCATATTTAGATAAGTAAATGACAAGCTTGAAAATGCCTTCAGGGACTGGGAAATTGAAAAATAAGAGATTTGAAACAAGAACTAAGTAGAATTTCTAGACCTTCCCTGAACAGTATGATAACCTGTGAGCCACATGTAGCTACTTCAAATTTAAACTTAAATAAATCAAAATTAAATATTAGAGTTGTCAGTCACAGTAGCTACAAGGCTAGTAACTATCTTATTAAGCAGCACTGATTGTTATAAATATTGTAGGAAGTTGTGTCAGACAGCATTATTCTAGAATTTTATTCTAAGACACTACAAAACAGATTCAAGAGACCCAGATAAATCCAAGCAGATGAATAAAAATAATTTATTCCTAGACACATCAGAGCCAATGTGCAGAAAACCAAAAATGGTGAAATTGACATTTTCTTTGAAAAAAGTAACTTTAGAAAAACTTATTCTAGAAAACCAGAAAGTCCAATAATGGTAAGAGATATTGAATTAGTAAAAAAATCTAACCATATAAAATCCATTAAAAAAATATAATTATAGAGAATCCTAGATCTAACTAAGCATGGCGTCAAACTCCTGTGACCGAAACTACTGGGGAGGATCCCAAGTTCAAGGTCAGCGTAGGCAACTTAGTGAAAGCCTGTCTCAAAATAAAAATTTAAAAAGGCTGGGGACATAGTTCACTGGTCTCTGGTACTGGAAAAAAAAAAAAAATTCTAGATGCAGCTAGCTTCACTAGTAAGTTCTCCTGAAGATCAAAGTAAAAATAATTCCAAACATGTGCAGTCTCTTTCAGAGTAGAAAAAGAGGAAATAATTGTTACTTTTGTGAAGTTCCCATAACCTTGTTGGCATAATCTGACAAGGGCACAGATATTCTAGTAAATATTTTAGCTCTTGGAGGGTGAAAGGGGTGGAATATATATTGAATATATATAATTTTATTATATATGTATAAGTGTATAAATTTGATTGGCAAAAAGGATAGATAGCATACCCAGAGAATAACTAAAAAAGTAATACTCTTTATTGTGAATTCTGTATAACCAGTTGATTCTCACAGAATACTTTCATTGTTTTTTCCTGAACTTTTGTATCCATAGCCGATTTAATGTAAACATTGTCATGATTTAACAAATGAAACTGCCTCCTAATTTGCTCTTTTCCCCATAAATTTAGTATCATTTAATCTGCTAATAATATACTGCTATAATTACTTCTTACCCCTGTGCAGAATATACTCATAAAACTGAAATCTATTAGTTTTACCAGTAATTCACTCTTGATTATAGCATTTGTTGACTTTCATGGTGTAAATATCTCACTGTCACTGATTTGAGGCTACCGACATGACAACCCTAAACTTAGAATCATGAAGTCAATTTATGAAGAAAAGTATTTAAAACTCATCATTTCACAATTAACTCTATTTGAGTATTATACTTCTGAGGTTATTTATATATTTAAATGGGAAAGGGAGGAAAAAAGGGAATTTATACTGATTTATTAAACTTAAAAATGTATTATGAGCTTTTTTCTTATACATGTTTTATTTATTTTTAATATTTTTAGTTGTAGATGGACACAATCTCTTTATTTATTTATTTGTATGTGCTGCTGAGGATTGAACCCAGTGCCTCACATGTGCTAGGCAAGCACTCTACCACTGAGCCACAACCTCAGCCTATATATATGTGCTTTAAAATGTGGTTTTAAAAAAAGCTGACCTACTATCAGAAAGGGCCATATTAATTCACCACATTAATTGACCTATGTATGTACTTCAGACATTTTAAGAGACGGTAACTAGTTGAAGGAGTTATGATATAAACTTAGATAACAGGGGTCTGTGTTCTGAATGTTTGGTTTAATATGTAAAAACATTGATTGCTGCTACTCATCTAGAACGTAAGAAAATCACCCTCCCATCTGCCATTGCCCTTGCTGAGTAAGAAATATCAGCCATAGCTTCACATGATAAGTTATGCCTGATAATTGTTTATGTGACTAGGTATGGATAGGCCATGATACAGGAAAACTAAAGGGAGCTAGATATTACAGATGAGGAATGCAGGCAGTAGGGGTCAGTGTGGCAGGAAATTGCTGTTCCACATGTACCTCCCACATCACCTTCTCCCTACACAATTTGAGTTCTGGATGGAACAGGTAGCTCTCTTGCTCCTTCCTTCCTTCCTTCCTTCCTTCCTTCCCTCCTTCCTTCCTTCCCTCGCTCCCTCCCCCACTCCTTCCCTCCCTCTTTCCTTTTTACCTGTGAAAAATTTAAAATTAAAAAAAAATCAAATAGAAACACTTAAAATTTTTGTTTAATTATGAAATATTTTATTCAGGTAGCCTCTGTAAGGCACTAGCACATGTGGTTGGAGTACATGTCAATGAGCAGACACAAACCTTACCATTGAACAGGGTTATTTTAATTAGTTACATTCCTGGTGGGCAGGGATTGGTTAATATTCACGTAATGTAGAGAATTTCCAGTAGCAAGTACCTTGGCCTTAAAAATGCAACATGCTAAAATCATACAATTTAGATGGTAAATAATGTAATACAGTTTGGTGATATATAAAAATAAATAATAAAGTAAGTTCAAATATTGTTCTAAAATACCTTGACAATTACCTTAGAAGGGGACTTCTGAATCATCATTTGAAATGAATAGATTGGTACATAATTAGTAAGGCTCCATTTTTGCTCAAGCTGGCTTTGTAAAGTGGACATATCGTGTATTAGTATGCAATTTAAATCAATTTTTCCTCTGATATACACACCCACATAAAATTCCTTTAAAATGTTTAGTTTTTTTTTTTTTTTAATTGTAATCAGTGTAGTATTTCTCAACTATTTTACCTTTAACCCATGATATGATGTGTTGTGTATTGGTCTTTATATATAATTTTTGATGATGGCAAATCTATTTGCCTGCATACTCAAATATTAGCTATCATTGAATAACTCATTAATATAATTCATTATGTACTTATTTGCACTACTGTTGTCCTTAAGTGAATGTGCCTCTGTTGAGCTTGGGCCAAGAGATTTGTGCCTGTCATGAAAATAACTCTTTTTGAGGTTTTTTTTTTTCCATAGAGCAAAAGTTGCCACAGTGCTGTGATACCAACTTGGAGAAAGGGGTATCTGATTAATCCAAAATAAGAGTGCATTTAATATCTGGGGCTAAACTTTATTTTTTTTAATGTGTTTGTTTTTAGAAAAAGTCATTACCATACTAGCTGCCTGTCTGGAAAGTAAGAATCAAAATGCTCAGAGGATTGCAGCAGCTGCACTTTGGGCTTTGACATATAATTACCAGAAGGTCAGTTTTAAAAATCATCTTATGAATTGGGGGCAAACAGCCAGGCCTGTGAGGGTGCATCCAAGGATATCAGAGGAGTATTAGAAACGAAAAAAGAAAAAGAAATGAAGGCAAAGACCCATCTTTTCTTTGTTCACTCATTCAGTTAGTAATCCATCAGTTGAAATCTATATCATTTAATCATCAGGAGGCCCCAGTTCAGAAGAGTATCTTTTAAGTGAATTTCCCTATTAATTTAAATTGATTTGCCATTGTGTTATAATTTTAATATAGATTATTTCTTCAAAAAGATGTGTCAAGGAAAAATGCATTGATACAAGACCAAATAAGTTTTATCCAAATATATGATTCAGTTGTTTATTGTACTTATCATTGCTGAGTTTTTAAAATTAGTTCAATTCTTAAAAGGCCAGTAGAAGGCCTGCCCAGAGAGATGCACAGCACAGTAGGCCCTGTAGCTTCCCGTTCTCTGGCATTTGGTCTTCTCTTTTATTGCAGACATCTCACTCCTAAAATACCTGTGAGTATCTAGGGGTAAAATAGTAGCCAGACAACCCTGTGCCTTTAGACAGCCTTCCCAGAATGGTGTTCTCTCAGCCCAGTGTCCCCGACTGTGCCGTGTCCCACCCTGCCTCCAGCACCCCCCCCACCAAGGTGAGGGACTCTTGCTCTCCCTCCCACCTGTTGTCCCCTGGGCTGCACACAGGATTTGACACTTTATAACCACCAGTAAATGTTTTTTTGACCAACTGACTGGTAACCTTTGAAATACTCCCATCTAAAATCTGATATTTGAGGGAATATGAATACTGAAACTAAAGGTTAACTGGTTTAAAAAAACAAATTGAGATCAGGGGAGAAGGACAAAAGGAGAAGGTAAGAAGAGTAATTGGACAGCAGATAATGGTTAGGTGAGGTAGGAGGAGGACGAAGGTGTCGGGGGATTACCACAGTAGGACACACTAACTGTATAATTCTGTAGTTACCTTATTGTATTTTATGGTACCTGTTTAACACTGTAGTTAGCAGTGGACAGAATTAGTATTGTATTATCCTAATTCTTGACATTTGGGAATAAGTCTAATTCATGGGTTGGTCTATATTATCTCCAGGCCAAAACAACGTTGAAAAACCCATCAATAAAAAGAAAAGTAGATGAAGCATATTCCTTAGCAAAGAAAGGTAAGTTTTATAGTTAAACTTGGAAACCACTAAATTAGTTCTCAGGATACTGAAATATTTAGACAAGCCATAGTAAAACAATAGTTTTCTACATCATTACTAAATTTTGCAGAGCTATTTTTTGTCAAAAGCATTATATGTGCCAATATTTAGTTAGACTTTCATTGTAACATTTTTTTAAAATAGTAAAACATCCTAATAGATGAAGGTTTGAGATATAATAATTTCTTAAAATGTGTCTGTGATCTTTCTCCAACTCAGTTTTTTCCTGGTACTAATTTTCTTTGCCAGTGGCTGCCGCTGGGCTAAAGTGTGCTCTTAGGTGATAAGAACTGGGCCTAATTAGAACTGACCTTGAACAGGAAGCTTTGATTTAAGATCACCAATTTGAATTGCAATCTTCTGAGAATAGATTTCATTGCCCCCCCCCCATCCATGTTGCCCTGTGATCTGCATGATAGGAGAGAGTTTTCTTTTCAAAGCACGTTACTCATTTTAAGTGACACCAGTTTTATCCTCTGAACACATTTCAAAACAACTGAGCTATGTCTTTCCTGTACTGTAGTAGTCTATGGACTATTAATCTGTGTTTTTATATAGTCTGATTCTTTTTAAAATAAGGGGAGCAGTTTTGTTTCCTTTCTAGCTATGTCCATGAATTTCTGAAGAAAACAAATAATTGGGTTACATTAAAGTTTATGCTTTAGGAGAGACAATATATTTTTAAAAAAGTAATGGCATTCATCTAGGATTATAGTTAACGATATCCATTATGGAATTGTATTTTTTAATACTCTTTGGGTAGACCATTAATAAAACAATATAAATTCTGTGATTTATTAATTTTTAAATGTAATATATTCTTATAATTCTAGTACATCAAGAACTAACATTTTTGTAAGTAAATATGATTCATGTTTCTGGAAGAGCATCTACCCCTTGAGTATAGAACTAAATTTAATAAACTAGTATTTCTAGACTCTTATTTTTTTTCTCTCAGCTTTCTCAAACCCAGAAGAAAGCCCTCTAAATGCCTACCATTTGAAATGTCTTGAAAACCTCGTGCAGCTGCTCAGCTCTTCCTGAGTGCCATGAGATGCTCCCCCCTGAACCTGACAGCCACCAGCGGAGAGCCAAGCCCTAGGCTGGCTTAGTGTGGAGCTGCTACCTGACGCCGTACCAACTCTGCAGAGTGCCGATGCCCTCCTTGCCTTAGGAAAAATAGGGCTGGTGACACTGAAAGAAGGAGAATTGGTGACATCATGACTCTGTGCTTTTGTGGCCATTTTCTAGAAGTAATAATAGTGGACAAGAGATGATGGGGAAACACAGAATGTTCTGGCAACATAAACATTTGTATCCCTTTCTATGCAATTTTCTTTGTAAAAATCCTATTTAACAGTTATTTAATAAAACAAAATGTTTTTAGAAATTGAAAATTGACTGTCATTTCTAGTTACAAAATTTTGTCAGTTCCAGGAATATTAGTTTTAGCAATTAAAAGGAGGTATTATGTTGTGGTTTGTCTGTCTGTATGTTCATTCTTTTTTTTTTTTTTTTTTTCCTTTCTTTCTAAAAATTTTGATCTGAAATTTGGCTTGAAATTTATCAATACAAAGTCTCATTTTCAAATTTTTGTATTTTCCAGAGCAACATACTGGTGAAACGTGTGTATGTGTACATGTGTGTAATTTTGTAGCTTCCTTATGCAATTTTTAGCAATATTAATTTCCTTTTAAGGGATATGTAAATCAATTGTAATTTTCACTTTTTGACTTCTGAAAGGCTGTGTGATAAAGAGGGGAGAAATATAGTTGGGGTCTTATGGGCATGGGTTCAAATTCTACCTCAACCCCAAATATCAAGAAGAACAAGTCATAGTGTAGGAAGAGCAAGATCTGTTCATTGGCTGATTTACTCATACATCAGTGTATGCTTGCCTTATCGCCTCTTTGAAAGCAGAAATAATTATAATTGTTTCCCCTAAAAATTTCTGATAGTGCCCAAGGGGGATTTGTAACCCAAGGGAACCACTTAGAGACATTGCCTGCTGCAGCTCAGGATGGCTGCAGACATGGGAGGGGAGGGGTGATCCATCAGAAAATCCTGCACTTGGTCTGTTGTATTCAGGAATGCTAACCTCAACCATGCAGAGGTCTAGGCTCTTGGACAGCCATCCTGCCATAGTGGTCTCTTGAACTTGCATCCATTTAGCCTGGAGGGCAGGTGTTAACACAGAAAGCCCCACTAGCCAGCAGCTGCCATGCTTCTACACTGGGGACCACCACCAGCAGAATCCTTGGGATGCCAGATGGAATGCATGTTCTTGTGCCCACTGAAACAGGTCTACTCTGTGTCCAAGAATCATGATAAACTCCTCAGGTTATGCCCACTGCAATTTGAGAACCACTGACTAATACCCCCGATTTTATACAAAACTGACTAGGACATGAAAATGACTTGTTATCCTTAACTAACAGCTTAATGATGAAATTGGGACCCGAATGACTATCAAGTATTCCTTTACACACACCCCAGTTTATGCTAGGATCTAAAAAACAGGTAGTGACTACTTCATACCTCATGGTGTCCAGTTTTACCATTTCTAACACTGTTGTTGGGTGAGCTGGTGTGTATATAGGTGCCTTGTAAGCACAGCCTGTGTCTTGTTCACTGCAAACACTGATACTAAGTCTTCTCTATTTAAGACCTTCAGTAGGTGGGGGAGGAAACAGGCATTGGTTTTGAAAATAGGATATGAGAATGAAGTAAAAAATAGAATTTTACTTATTTAACTCCAGATTGGCAATTTCCTTTTGCAGTATTAAATAATCACATCTATGATAATGTTCCATGATTAGTCTTTTTGGCTACAGCTTGTGCCCAATTCCTGAAGTTGCTCAAGTCCCAAAGCTGCTTCTTTATTATTCTGGTTTTTTAAATTTTAATTTTCATAGGTGCATAATATACATAATAATGGGATTCATTATTACTTACTTGCACATGCATACAATAGAACAATATAATTTGGTCAGTTTCATTCCTCAGTATCACCCCTTTCTTTTCCCTCCTCCCTTTCCCTGGTCTTATTCCTCTAATCTACTGGCTTCTCTTCTCTTTTCATGAATCTGCCCCCGTTTTGTACTTTTTTCTCTCTGGCTTCCACATATGAGAGAAAGCATATGACCCTTGACTTTTTGAGTCTGGTTTATTTAACTTAACATAATGCTCTCAAGTACTATTCTTTTCCTGCAAATGACATCATTTTATTCTTTATACCTGAGTAAAACTATTGTATGTTTATGCCACATTTTCTTTCTTTTTTTTATTTTTTGTTATTTTTTATTGTTAGTTGTTCAAAACATTACAAAGCTCTTGACATATCATATTTCATAGATTTGATTCAAGTGGATTATGACCTCCCAGTGCCACATTTTCTTTATCCTTATATCAGTCATCAGTCAATGGACACCTAGACTGGTTCCATAGTTTGGCTATTGTGAATTGTACTGCTACAAAAATACGGTATACACGTATTATTGTAGTATACTGATTTTAATTCTTTAGGATAAACACTGAGGAGTGGTTTAGTGGTCACATAGTAGTTCCATTCCTAGTCTTTTGAGGAACCTCCATACTGTTTCATAGTGGTGGTTCAGATTTACAGTCGTACCAATCTCTAGCATTTATTATTATTTGTATTTTTGGTGGCTGCCATTCTAACTGGAAATGAAATCTCAGTGTAGTTTTGATTTGCATAGTTTCAATCTTCTACATATAGGACACATAGCACCATTTGTTAAAATGACTATCTTTTCTCCAATATGTTTTTGGCACCATTGATAAGATCAGATGGCTGTATCTACATGGATTTGTCTATATCTTCTTTTGTGTCCCATTGGTCAATGTGTCTGTTTTTATACCAGTGCAGTTTTTGATGCTGTAGCATATTTTGAAGGTAGGTATTGTGATGCCTCCAACACTGGTTTTGTTTTGTTTTCTTAGAATTTTATTTTTAGAATTGGCTATTTGACTTTTTAATTTTTCCATATGATTTTTAGGACTGCTTTTTCTGGTTCTGTGAGGAATGCCATTGGTATTTTGATGGGGTATTTAATAATATGGTAACCATATTATTAATTCTGCCTATCCATGAACATAGTAATCTTTCCATCTTCTGTCATTTTTAATTTTTTTTTCAGTGTTTTATAATTTTTATTGTAGAGGTCTTTTACCTTCTGGGTTAGATTTATTCCTAGGTATTTTATTTTTCCAAATCTGCTTCTTGACCCATGATGATATATTCTTCAGATTTGGCAGAATAATGGTTAAAGTAATGATTATCATCCCTGGCTATGGCCATCTCTTCTTGTAGTTTTATTAATAAGTGAGACAGCTTGAGAGAGTGGTTAACAGCAGAGGGCTCTGGAGTTGTGTGGAGCTATGATTATCTCTGGCCCCACCACTGCAACCTCTGGGGTTGAGTATGCTTGAGTGTTTTTTCAGAAAAGGATACTTACCCTGTAAAGTTAGTGAAGAAGACAGAGTGCTTAGTACAGTGCCTAGTATGTGGTTGATTATCCCTTAGATGTTACCAGTGATTAATTATTATAAAATTTTCAAACAATCATGTATCTTAAAGAATTAAATGTTCATTCCTTGCAAACTTTCTCTCCTTTTGAGGAGCCGAGTATGCTGAGAAGTGACTCATGCTGTCAAACTAGTTTCCAACCTTCCAGAGATTGATAGTTTCTATTGGAGGTACATGGTCCTGTGGCCACACAGCAAGTCATTGAGAACCTGCATCTTACAAGGCTTTGCTTCCATGCATTAAATATGCTTCGGTGATTTGATGTGTTTCATTCTGTTTGTCGGGTTGTTTTGATTGTATTTCAGTTGATGAAATATTGCTTTCTCCATTTGATTTATAAAAATGGAACATTCAAGAGAAAAATCTTAAAGAAGCCACTTTCTTCTTTCCACCTGTTGTACTGTGATCCAAAGAGTATGGGGATTCAGTCATAAAATACTATTGTTTCTGTGAATTAATGAAACTTGGTATAGAGGAATTCAGTTTGTTCTTCCTAAAAGTTACCTCTCCTAGGGAATTTCTCCCACAATTGAAGTGATAAATCATGTGGGACTGAGTGAGTGTGCTGAGCCTTGAGGCTCAGGATGTACAGAAGACTTTGCCAACACCCCAGGAATTCTGAGGTTTGGCAGCCACATTTGCAAGCAGCTCAGTGTGATCCTGTTTTAAATGTTCCCAACAACATTTATCTTTGCGTTTCATTTGCTCCTTCTGCATCTGAAAATCTGTTGCAGAAAAAAGAAAATCTGCTGTTTTAGAACAGTGTTCACAAAACATCCTTATGGTAACATTCAGTGAATTTCTTTTTAATTTTGCTTGAAAGCCAAGTGAAAAAAAATTGGGAAGGTCGGGGGGAAGTGTGTAACATAAGTCCAAGGTCAAGAATTTTCGTGCATTTCTTCTTTTTCAGTAACTCCTTTACCTGATTTCTCTCTGCCAGTGGGCATGACTTTGGAGTGTGAGTCCCATTTGGATTCATCTGGGCAGTGAGCCTCAGCATTCTGGCAGCAGATTGCTTGCAATTTGGTGTAGATTTTGAATACATTATTTATTTAAATTCTTTATTAGAACATTCTTCCTTTGGCTTACTACAGAAAGATTGTAAAATGGAGACTTATTACTATTTTTTGGTCACAGTCTTAAAAAATGCATTGGGAAGAACTAGTTGATGGTCATGATACCTGGTTTAAAGCTGCCTTTGATGTCTGTTAGAAAAAGCCATGATTTCATGGAGTTGAGAGTCCAAAATAATAATACTTTCAGTAGGAGAGGAGTTCCTTTTTTGTTTTTGTTTTGCTTTGCTTTTTGGATAGTTGTGGTGGCAATGGTGGTTTCCACATCCTGGAAACTCATAGGTGGTTTGTCCATAGCTAAGTGTCCTCAGGGACCCCAGTGCCTGCCTATCTATCTATCTACTTTCTCATATTTATACACTTACTTCAGTAAGGTGCCTCATGAGAATTAGGAAGCAGAAAGGGTCCCCTGGCTGTGTGTTATCTTTTTAAGGAGCCTTCCCAAAAGACCATCTCAACAGCTTGCACACACATTTTGTGGGACAGAATGTAGCACATGGTCATTGACAGTTGCAAGGCTAACAATTGTAGTCACTTACCTAGGCACACTGTCGCATCCAGTAGCACAGGTCTCTGCTAGTAGAGAAGGGGAGCTGGGGTTTGGTTAAGCACCCACCAGATTCAGCCATGCAGGTCAATGCTCTGATTTAGTTTGAAAGAAAGACATGATGTTATTAGGGGCAAAGGTGTCATCCTCCTAAAGAAAAAATAAGAAAGGTTAGACATTTATTCAATCTATCCAACCTGTATTTAGACTTTGTGATTACTTCCAATT